GATTTTGGAGAGATTGTCTCATTTTATACACATATATATATATATATATATATATATATATTTGAAAGGTGAAATCAATATTTGGTCTAGATATTTGGTCTAGTGGGCACCAAATATTGATTCCCCCAAAGGGTTGAAAACCTTGGTGTGCTTGTATATGATTCGAAGAGCCTGCGCAACGGGATTGGAACCCCCGAACCGAGGGACTTACGCCAGAGGCCACACCAATGAAAAAAATTGCGTACATAAGACGTACGCACAGCTGCGTACGTCTGTAATCTGTAACCTGCAAACAGCGGTAACCTGCAAACAGGTTACAGGGAGGATTTTGGGAGGTTATAACCGCGTTATACCCCTTGTAACCTCCATGTAACCTACCTGTATCTTCTAGTAAGTTATGCGCTTCTGTTTTCATATACAAGTAGGTTACAGGGAGGTTACAGGGGGTATAACGCGGTTATAACCTCCTAAAATTCTCCCTGTAACGCTCTGCGTACGTCTTATGTACGTAATTTTTTTTCGCACCAATGAGTCAGGTCATTCGCACGCGCACGTGTGTGTTTGTTTGTTTTTAAAGAAAAAATTTTTTTTTTTTTTTTGTTTGAAAAGTGGTAGAATAATGTGGGAGATGACTAGTTGTTTATTCATTATTGGGTAACAGACATGACTGTATATTCCAAGTCATAGGTTCGAACCCAATAATTAATACGTGGGGCATTTACATACTTACCACCCAATTACTATTTATTTACATATATAACTCTTTTTTATATTTATACCCCCCAAATCTTTCATATCACATTAAATATAATTATTTAGTTTTTAATAAGTGAATTAGACATTTTATAAATGCATGGATAAGGTGGCACATATTTCTTTACATATATATATATATATATATATATATATATGTGTGTGTGTGTGTGTGTGTGTGTGTGTGTGTGTAGAGAGAGAGAGAGAGCTTTGTTTCGATTGTTTCAAAGTTTAGAAGTTCATAAAATAATAATTTTGATTTAATTAGAAAGTTAATATAATAATGATTGGTTGAACGCAGAAGCTTTCAGTTTGCTACCAAATATTAATATGAATAAAAATTTAATTTTAATTGTATTTACACATCTAAACTTGCATATTTACATACATATCACTAGGGCTGTCAAAATGGCCCGTCGTTCGCGAACAGCTCATGTTCGGCTCGTTCGCTAACTTAATGAGCTGAATATGAAAAATACGAATAAATATTTTATCGAGTCAATAATGAGTCAAACTGTATTGAACAAAAGATTGTTCCTGTTCGTCTTGTTTACCTAATAAACAAATCAAACATGATGTTCTTAACAAGCCAAATAATGACAAAATTTTTTTTATAGCCTATGACTGCAATGCTGGGAAACATTTCCAATCATTTGGGAGCTAAGTTGTAGACTAAATAAAAAAATTAACAGAAGTTCAACTGTTGACTAGTATATGAACTCTAGTGGGCCATGTAATAATGCTACCCTGAAAATCCATGTGAAATATGAAGCTTGCGTTGTTTTATTTTGCGTCACCAATCATCAGAGATGAAGTCATCACAACCATTGTATCCATTCTCTAAAATTTTTCTGAATGTTCAATTTGCATTGTTAACAATAATATCTTAACCCGACTTTTTTAACAATATGCAGCTTATAGAGGAACTTAATGCTGGTGGCGCGCGAATGGTTGTTGAAAATGGTACGCAGCCTAAAGATTCCAACATTTTGATATCCTAAATTCGAGTTTCATATTACATTCTCCATTTTATTCGCTGTAATGGAACCTACACCAGAGGCCGTAGCGAAGTGCAATATTTTTTTTTTTCTGGGAAATTTACATACATACAGCACAATTCTTATGTATTTACGTATCTAACACCCTAAGTTTGTTATTTACACATTTTGGTATTATAACTCTATTTATGAAAAAGTCTTTTTCATTTAGAAAGAGATGGTGATATTCATGATGTGATATTAAAAGATTTGGGTGGTAAATATGAAAGTTTTGTTGTTAGGTATGTAAATATATAAGAACTGTGTGGTATGCTTGTAATGCACCTTCTTTTATTTGCCGCTATCCCTAATTGTGCATGTTTCATCTGTAGCTGAGTGGGAAGGAACTTCACTTGACCAATCAATCAGGTTTTTCAGGTCATCCTTTCTGCAGCCATTGATGAAGTCTTGTAAGGCAAGTTACTTTCTCCTGCAATCTAGCTTCTTTTAATGCTTTAACTTCATTCTAACTTGTTCGCATTGTGATTTAGGGCCCGTTTGGGCCAGCTTAAAAGTGCAGCGGCGTTTTTGAAAACGCCGCGTCGCAGTTTGATTCACGCGTTTTGATAGCGTTTTTAAAAATAGTGTTTTAGTGTTGAACTAAACACAGACCGTGGCATTACCCCTGCGTACCGCGTTCGCACGCCAGCTTTTTACACCCCTGCCCTCGTCGCTAACCCCACAGTTGCCTCCGAGCCTAGTGCTCTTCGCGTGACGTCTCGGTGCTGACAGGCGAGCCAACAAAGAAAAAGGTTCGTCCAATTGCTTCGGCACTCACCGCCGCGGTACCCCCAACCTCACCGCATTGCACCAGAGCTCGCCGGTGGGCTCCGCTTCTCCGATCTCAAATTCAGTCTCACCGCCGCTCTTTTTCACTCATCGCTCTTAGCAATGAACCCTCCAGCCTCGTAGAAATCCCCCTTCTCAACTTCTCCGCAACTTCTTCTTCTCATCTACACCTTCCTCGCGCCCAATCGCAGGAAGACTCCTTGCCATCTTCCTCATCGCCTTCTTCCGGTGAGCCCGACGACGCCGAGGTGTTCTCCTGACCCGCAGTCGTTCTTTCGTAAGTGGTATCGTTTCTGTCTGGAAATTAATTTAATTTTGTCTTGAGTGCTGGCTTCATCCATTATCGAGGTTTTTGTTCCCGGCTCTAGGTGAGGGATTCATCTATTTTTCTGTGTAGTATCTATGTATGCCCTGTTTTTGATCTGTGTTTTGCTCTTTTTATCATTTATGTGAGGTTGCTTTGGTTTGGATGTTACATGATCCTTTATTTTTAGATGTTAAAGCACACGAATCACAGTCAAAATGAGTAAAACTAATGAGGTCGGACAAGTTGCACAAGGTTCGACAGTGTCACAATCAGAGACCATCGCTTGTGGTTCGAGTGTTTCCCGACCTCATAATGTTGCTCAGGGTTCTCTTGTGTAACAACCGAGCAACGGTTCTCATGAGTTGTTGCTTTCACATTCTAAATTGAATGTTATAATCTTATTACTAATTGTAGTTTTAATATATATTTTGGTTTTAATTTTGCAAATAAGCTGTTTACAAAACGCACAAACAAAACAGTTAAACAACTTATCCAGAACAGGGGCGGAATGGTCATTTATCCATAATCAGCTGTTTTCCAAACGCATAAACCAAACAACCAGTCAGCTTATTCAGATCAGCTGCCAATCAGCAGATTATCAGAATCAGCTGTTTATTAGCAGAAGCTGGATAAGTTGCAGCTGCCTCAAATAGACCCTTACTTGTAGTAGATGCGCATTAGTTCTTTTTTTTAAAATTGGATTTTAATTAGTATGACTTTAAAGTTTATCAACACTTTGATTGGATAAAATGAACATGTGGACTTAGGATAATCATTATTTAGCCTTAAATTATGCATTTCAATCCAAATTGTGTTATTCATTTATTTTCTTATTTTTTGCCAATTCAAAAGCATGTTGAATTTCTATTTATTTTTTAACATTTATTTTCTTATTTTTTTGAATTTCTATTTACTTCCATAATATTCTAATATATTTACCTATGGAAGTTGTAAAACAATATACGATATTTTATGCAATCCACAATAGAAATATCTTAGGCACATTTACATGCATACCACCCAATTCTTATATATTTACATTTGTAGCACCTAAATTTTATTTTTTACATCAAATCCAAAATATCACTTGCAACTTTTTTGAAATACCTTTACATGCAAAGTAATGCGGCAGATATATAAAAAATTTTCATATGTAAATACATAAGACTTGAGGGGTACACATAAATATTCCAAGAAATTATTTAGAAAAAAAATTATAACGAGATTGAGAATCTCTAACTGTGTGGCACCAAGCAATATCTATTATGGTCACCTAAAAGCTCCATTTTGCCCATTGGTTCTTGCAGGATGAGATGGAGAGTTCATACAACGCAAAAATCCAACAATCTAATAAGAGTTCTCTGAGCTGGTAGACTCTGCTCTTCATTAGATCTGTGTCCTCAATTTCCACCTGTATCAGTTATTAAACTTTGTTAATTTAATAAACAGTAATTTCTTTGGAAGTTGAAATATTAGGTTATGATTAGCGGTTTTAGCATCTGTTTGTTATTTTTCACCAATACATGCTTGCAGAGCAACCGGTGTTATTGTTTAGAAATATACGGTACTTTTGTTTCTGGGGAAGAAAAGGGGTGGCTTTTCTTTTCGATCAAGATATTGCATGTAAAGAAATGTTCGTAATTTAGTTGGTTTTACTTTTATCATTGATTTTATGCTGTTAGATTTGATTTCACTTACATTTTGAGATCTTGTAAGTTTTGCTCTATTTAGTGTTCAGTCATAAAGGCATTATATTAAGATGTTGAGCTTAAATTGATATGTAATTATCGTTTTATCATTTTTTATTTTTTTTTAAATTAGTGCTTTAGAGCAATCTTGATCTATAAATTTCAGTAATAATTTTTAAGCATTCACAAATTGAATTAGCTGGTACTCTCACTGAAAGAAATACAAACTCCAAAAAAATAGGGAAATTTTTTCTGTCCGGACTTGGACGTAGAGCTCTACGTGTGGATTTAATTATTATATTGTCATGTGTGATATAACAGGCTAACCTAAAAAAATCTTGAGGGTGGAATAACGGAAATTATTGGAATGGAACTATGAAGATTATTAGAGATATTACGGAGATTATTGGAGGATTATTAGGATATTAATTTTAATAACACTGCAATAACTCACCAATAACTAATTTATTAAGAGATAAATTTATCGGCTCCTCCAATAATCTCCTCCTAATAACCTTTTAATAACTCATGTGGTTCCACTTTAATAACCCCCATAATAACTCTCTAATAACTTCTACAGATCCTTTTCAACAACCCCCTCATAACCTTTGTTGTTCTACTTTAATGACCCCCAATAACCTCACACATGGATCAACGACCAGAGTCTAGCCAGAAATTTTTTCCAAAAAATAGAGAGAATAGAATAGCTGAATAATGTATGAATTTTTTACGAGCACAACTCGGTAACCAAATGTTTTAAGTTTAAAAATTAAAATTCCAAAATCTAACTTATTTCCATTAGTTAATAATCTTGAACTCAGACAAAAACATTTCATGTATCCAACAACTTTACTCCACCAAAAATATAAATCATCATTTAAACAAAATAATAGTAAAAAAACAGTACCAGTGGCAGCCATCAGATCAGAGAGTGGTTAGCAGCTACATTGCTGTTATCTCCAATTACTGGAGGGGATTCATCTTGTGTTGGAATGAGAGGAGCTGCAGAAACAGCGAGGTTGGAGAGAGCAGGCAGAGCGATAGTCATAACCTCATCCACGTTCACATCAACCAATTTTCGCTGTTTTCTGGTCCTCTTTGAAATCATCGTATTTTGATCTTTAGATGGGTGAGGTTGAGAAGGATTTTTACTTGATCTCGCTCCTGCTGCATCTGCAGAGCCAGAGCCTGAGCCTGGTGCTATGGAGGACTGAAGCAACTCCAGCCGCCGATCAGTTTCTGGACGTCTGCATATCTTTTTCAGCGACACTATCTCCTGCCAGTCTTGTGGGTAAGTTGCGCATTTATAATACTTATGTTGTTATTTAAAATCGGCACAAATTGAACGAAATCGATATTTGAAATTCCAAAATAAACATAGCCAACCAAATTTTTTAGAAAGTTGATTTAAATTAAATTGAAATTTAATTCAATATAACCGGTTAGGGCTTCAAACAATTCTCAATTTAATTTTTAGCCTGAAATAATTAAAACCTATTACTTTTTTTTTTTTTTTGGCTAGGGTAACGGAGGACAAAATTTTAATTTTAGAAAGGGCAAAAGATCAAATTATCCTCTTATATAAGTAGAAATCTAAATTTGTGGGGGGGACAATTGCTCCTACTTATGTAGGCATCCTCAGGATTGGTTGGATTGGCGAAATAAAAATATTTTTGTGCTATTTAAAGATTAATTTTTTGTGCAAGTGAAAAGATTAATTTGGGTGTCGTGCATGTAAATCTGTCAAAAATACATGCATTCCTACTTCCTGGATACTCACAAGCCACTCAATTCCAATGTACTTACATATCCACCACCTAAACTTCCATTTCTTACATTTACAATACCCAAATCTTTTATACCATATTTAAAATATCACCATTTTAATTTCTAAAAAGTTAAATACACTTTCTCATGAATGGGTAAGGTATGCAAAAAATTAAAGCTTAGGTGTTATATATAAATACATAAGAATTGGTTGGTATACATGTAAATGTGATTAAATACAATTGCACAGGTAAAAATCTGAAGAGTGGAAACACCAAAAATACTGCCACAATGCAAATAACGTAGCATAAAGTAGATTAAGAAACTATATAAAAAGAAAATCAAAGCATAAAATTATAAAAAAATATACCTCAGACTGATCGTGGTCATAGCGGACAAGAAACCGACACCGACAGCCACGAACATCATGCCTTCTTCTTTGTGCATCGAGGATATGAGCGTCGAAATAGAGAGCCTGCTCATTACCTTCCTGTTTGTTGTCACATATGAAAGCTATTATCAAATGGAGCATCATTTCACTAGTAACAATAGTATCATATTGGTTAATTAATAACAACCCTTATACTTGGTTCCTCCAAGAGAAGAGGATTACATTTTGAAAAATGACAAATTTATTTAAATTTTATCATTTGATCTGATGCTTAACGTCTATTTTATAATATCCAATCATATTATAAGATTGTGAATCATAATGAATAACATATCAAACTCATTGAATATGCTAATCACATAATGGACGATGTCCTAATTATCTGCTAGGCTCTCAACTGATCTCATCTCAGTAGAAAAATTAGTTCATAACAATTGTGGTGTTCGATTTAATCATGATGATTGCACTGCATAAGATTTTAATAAAGTAAAAATACTTATGAAGAGGCCTAAAATTGGACATGTTTCTCTTGCAGTCATGCATTTCAAAGGAGGTTTTATTATCGTGTATTGTGATAAATCAAAATAATAAACTCCTACGCAAAAGATTGAAGTCATCAAAACTCTCCTATTTTATTTCTCTTAATAAATTCTTATTTAGTAGGAAGGAAAGATCAATTTACTTGTCTTGTTTTTGCTTCTACTTAATAAGTAAATAATAGAAATCATTAATTCTCTTCCATCACATAATAGTTATCTTAAAAATTATTTTAATTTGATCATTAATGTCGTATGATGTTTAATTATAAATATTTTGTAAGTTCAATAAAGAATATAACAAATACACTTAGATTATGACATATATTTTGTCTTTTTAAAAAATTTTGTTGTTTATGCTGAAACTCAATTTTCATCTTACGCTAACAAATTGAGATTTGATTTTAGGAGTGAATGTGTCTCATTATTTTCTTAAACACAAATGAATTATTTTTCATAGATCTTGCCACCATATATCCCAACAAAATGATATTGCGGAATATAAAAATCATCACTTTCTAAACATTTTCTATAAGAAATCCAATAGAATTGTCATTCTAGTTTATGTTGATGACATTATAATTACTACCATACATTTAACTCTAATTATGCTTCAACAACACTTCTAAGCCACATTTCATATGATGAATTTTGAAGGCCTCACTTGTTAAATTTGAAAATGCGCACTACTTCCTCTACATTCCTACACTAATAAAAGCATCATAGGATTTAATTACTTTGAAAAGTCTTTAAAATTATTTGAAGTAAATGTAAAATATCTTAGTGAGGAAGGAGACATACAGACAATTGATAAGCAGTCTAAACTATTTCACCATTACTCGTCACTCGTACTGGATTGTCATTCGTTGATTTATTTGATATCTCATAAAGACACCAAATCAAGATTTGTTCTTTGACATCTTTCCATATAATTCTCATCCTCAACATGTAGGACATGGTACTGCAGATTAGACAGGGTGGTTATAATATTCATCGATCAACTATAGGATTGTGCATGTCTTAATAGTTTTTTGATCTCATGTAAGAGTAAGAAATAATCTCTCAATGTATCATAAGAGGACTATAAATATTAAAGTTAATTGTCACTCAATTTGGGAAACCTTCAACACTGATATGATTTTCTTTCTTACACCCCCACAAATCTTCAAATTACAGATATATTAATGAAAGCTTTGACCAAACAAAGACATTAGATGCTTGTATGTAAATTGATGCTTTGTGAACAACTGACATCGATTTAAGAGGAGATATCAAAGAATATAATTGATTAGAATTCAATCTACAAATTACAACCTAATTGACTCCTTATATGTAATCTTATCATAAAATCAATCACCATAAATTATGTCTAGATCAGTTCCTTACATGCTAGCTCACTAATTTGTGTGCTCAAAAGTGTCATCTCAACAATCCACATGCAAATTTATTTTAACTAATGGCATGACCAATTTTTTTATTAAATGGGTAAACTTTCAACCATGTAACACTCCTAGGATTATATAAACAAGGGTCAACTGAGGAAATAAAATTAAGGATTATTATTATTTTTTCCTTATTTTTTTCATTCATTAATATTGAGTGCTTGAAGTGTTAAACTTACTCTCACAAATTTTTTTCGAACTTAAATCCATGTAAAATTTGGTTTACCTTTTTTTTTTCTTAATCATTTAAAGCTAGATGTATTAAAACTTCCAACATAAATATTTTGTATCCTTCATTGTAAATTCTCAAATCACCTAAGTTTATATTTAACTATCTTATTTTTTATGTATGTCACTCTAACCTTTGCTTTAATATAATTCTTTCTGATTTTCACCTGTGCATTTTAACATTCTCATTGTCACCTCACTAAATATAGATTTCAATGACTTTCTTTCGGTCTAACATTTGAATCCATACAACATTAAAGGCCTAGTTGTAGTTTTATTAAATTTATCTTTAAGCCTCCATGGCATTCTTTTATCATACAAACGCTTCAGCCTCTTTCCTATTTTAAGCATCCATCCTTAACTCTAAAAGCTACGTTCTCATCTATATTTTCATGCTTTTGAATGATATATCCGAGTTACTTAAAAGCTTACACCTAAAATCATTTTATCAGCCTTTAAAATTGAATGATAATTATTAAACATTATAAATCATATACTCAATCGTTGTTGTACTAATTTTTTTATCTAAATGTGACAACTCTTAGTGGCTCGACACAAGAATGACAATATAATGAGCACACCTTATAATTAAAATTAACCACATCATGTAAAAATAAGTGTAACTGAAAAAAAAAGAGAGAGAGGAAATGACCATCTTAAAATGGTGACTGCAGGAGAGAATTAAATGTGGAAAACAAAAATGGTTATATACTTAAAAATAAGGTTTCCTGCAATAAAATATCCTCTCCTTTTCACAAAAAAATGTATGTAATTCAAAAAAGAAGACCCACCCGCTCCCATCCTCTCACCACCATCATGCAATGTGGAACTCTCAAATAACGAGCAAAACCTCTCCCTCTCTATCTCACTCCATTTCTTCATCTTCCACGAGTAATTTTAACTATTGAATAATGAAATAATCCTCTCATTTTTCAGCCAACAGAAAAAATTGATGTACTTCCTCGCCAAACTACTTCGGATCACAAACATTCCATTTCAATGACTACTTTCTCAGCTAACAAAAGAGACATGGGGGTGTATGCTTATTAAAAATATAATGTAATTTTATTTTGGAAGAATATTGCACTCATGAGAATTAATAAAAGTATGTGTAGTCCAGTTTCTTTTAAAATAAGAAAAGGAACATTGTTAAGTAAACAATTTAAAAGCCAAAATCTATGAAATTATTACGAACTGCATCGGTACCTATTTAAGAAGCCATTCTTCCATAAAACAATAAAAAGAATTTACAAGTAATGGCTACACAAAAAAATTTAAATATTAAATTGAAATTAATTTCTAAAAATAAAACAAAAGGCATTATAGGGTTTGGATGGCTCCACGATAAACGTGCAAAAAATGTGTATATATATATATGTATGTGTGTGTGTGTGTATGCGCGCGCGCGCGCGTCGCAAGCCTTGGCCTGTTGGTGGCAGGTTCACTGTAATTCCCCTCAGGTCAAGGGTTCGATCCCACCGTGACGCGGGGGCTCTTGAATATTAGACACATGGCGCAGACACCCCATCATAGGTGCTCAAGCGCAAAGGAGAAGCGGTATTTGGGCCCACCGGACTCAAATATCATTTCCTTTTAAATAAATAACTAAATATATGTATATATATAAACAAAATGAAAATTCGGTTAAGCTGACCGAACCTGGAAACACAGAATGAGGTCCCCGGGAAGCACTGCGACACACTCTCCAGCCTCACAAGGAAGAGATCTCTGCCTAACACACTTTCGAACATTTATCCACTCATCCTCTTCAACACCAAACCCTGTAAATCGAATCCGCACTTCCTGAAACAATCAGCACATACCATGTTCATGCCTATGGCTATCCCAAAATCAGAAGTATACAAAAAAAAAAAATCACTTTTGTGCTCTCTAATAAATATAAAACTAGTATTTTCATTGAAAACATTCATTCAGAATATAATCTATAATTTTTTTTTTTGGAAGAACTACATGCATACCACTCAATTCTTATGCATTTACATATCTAAAACCTAAACTTCAATTTTTACATAAATGCAACCTCACATGTGCATAAAAATGTGTATTTCACTTTTTATAAAAGAAAAAAGTGGTATTTTTTGATGTGATATAAAAGATTTGAGTGGTATAAATGCAAATAGTAAAGTTTAGCTGCTAGATATGTAAATATATAAGAATTGCGTGGTATTTATGTAAATGCCCCTTTCCTTCCAGTTTGAGATATACTAAATTAATTTAACATACAACTACTTAGGAAATGGATCAGCTCGAAAAATAAATTCTACACAACAAACTTGAGATAATTACCGGATCGCCAGTTTCAAACATTCTGTAAGACAAAAAGGCTGAAACATCATACCTGCAATGAAAGCATGCTTAGACATACGTGGGAGAATAATATGATTAACAGGAAGATAGTAAAAAACAGTGAATAACAGGCTAAATCAAATTCCAAAGAATTATGTCAAATCTGAGATGGTGGAGAAACCAAGATTAAACCATCACTTATCAATGATATCAATGCAACTATTTTAGAATAAAAAACACACTAAACAAATGTAATTTTAAAAATAAAATTGATCCTAAATCAAGCCCTTAATCTCAAGTATTAAATTTAGCTTGTAAACTAGTACTGCATTGCAGCTACATCAAACAGCTGTAAATAAAGTTTAAATTTGCTTTCAAGAGTAATTGGAATGTATCAAAGAGAGTCTAAAAATGGTTTCTGCAAAACACAATTCATTATTTTTACCAATTTTGAAACTTAAAAAGTCCTACTTTACGTTGTAGATTCAAAAAGTTCATTGTAATGGTAGCAAAGAAACTATTTAACATTTTGATCAAAGTTATGTGCAAGTAGGAAGAACTACTAAGAAATATGACAAAAATTTGCAAATCATGCTTAAAACTAATAGAAAGTATATTAAATAGGATTTTCCACTCTTATTGCGAACCAATTAAACAAAAAGATGATAATACTAACCAAGCTCCATCCCTCAATGATTTTGCCTCAAATTCCACCTCAACATTCTCCGAAGAATTGCTTCCTGCAATTTGTTGAAACAAAACTCACACCGAGTTCATGGAACTTGCACTAATTTAACTCCAGACAAACAGTATTCAAGCTTTAATGAAGATGTTGCACTTGCAACCCAAACCATTTATTTCAATGATCATACTTTTAGCTCGACAAATGAAAATGATGAAAAAAGTTGAGGAGTAAAGTGCTAAAATAGTACCCAAACTATTTATATGGGGCCATTTTAGTCTTGGATCTATAAAAGTGTTAAATTAGTTCCGACAATTTTTAATATAGGCTGAAATAGTCCCGGAGAGAATTATTTGAGCCCTCATTAAAAAACTCTAGGGACTAAATTAATACTTTTATAGACTCTAGAACTAAACACCTATAAAGAGTAAGTGAACCATTTTAATACTTTTCTCAAAAGGTAATCATGCATTGATCGATGAAGAGTCAACAAAATTCTTGATTATATGATACTCCTCTTCATGTTTTTCTTTCATAGAAAACTGGTAATGAGCGAACTATGAAAATATAAAAAACAAAAAAGCTCTAAAACTTATAAATATTATGAAAGAACCTTGGCAATCTGAATTTAATATATTTAAAAGTGTCATTAGACTTTAGCCCACCCCATGCTCACTTGGACCGTAGGTAATATGGGCAACAGAGCTCCATTAACTCTAGAGTTGGCTACCAATTCTACAGCAATCTTGATGAACGTGATATAACCAATCTTATCAATCTAAATTTCAACTTCATGGCAGATTGCTCCAAAAGGCACATGCTTATGCTAAAGCAAAATCATCATTTGTTCAGCTCAAAATCACGAGGATGGCCTATTCCACAAATATACTTGAGCATCATGTAGAGTGGGAGGCTCTACCTTTCGTTTAGCATGGGATTTCTGTTTGTATAATAGAGTGTTTAATCGAAAAGGTGGGAGCGTGAAAGCGAGCACAAGTCTGATTTCAAACTCGAAGATGTGTTATCAAATTGAAGTAAAAAAATGAGGTGGAAAAGTTTGACAATGAATGGTTAGGGCTAAGGGTTATTTGTGTTAAAAAACTATGGAATAAAAAACAACTTAAATTATTTAGGACTTCAACCGTTAATGTGGAAGTGAATTTTTGGTGACAGAATTAAAGCTGGGAGATGCTAGAAGCAAAATTGATTAGAATATAAAAGTAAAAATTATAGACCTTCATTGCTAGCAAATAAATTGATTTAACTTCCTCTTAGATAAAGAGACAAAAAGATACTTGTTTGAGAGTAAAAGAGGGAGAAAGAGAAGAGAAAGCATGCATGATATAGGATGTCCTGCAGTCTAGGTTTCCGAATGCAATTAGAAGACGCATGTGTGAGGATTCGAAATTCATACTTCAAAAGATCATAAATTAAAATATTATTTGCCAATCAATTATCAAAATCTAAACATATAAGAATATGCACCAAACAATAATTTAATCATATCATAGATATACAATATAAGTTGAAATATTAAAAAGCTACAATTTGACGGGGATTTAAATGGTAACTAGAAATCCAATTCCAGCAAATTTGACTAGAACCAAAAAATAATTGGAAAACTAACAACAACACTATCCCACTAGCGGGGTCGGCTACATGAATCCTTTTCTCCATTACATCCTATTGAGTGTCATATTTTCATTTAATTCTAATAGATTAAGATCATTTTTAATACAATATGCCCAATTCTTTTTAGGTCTACCTCTGCCTTTCTTAACACATAAGCTAACATAAGCCAAATCTAAAACATCTACTCTCCTAATAGGATCATCAGATAGTCGACGTTTAATGTGACCAAACTATCTAAGACGACTTTCTCTAATCTTGTACGCCATTGCAGCTACACCAACTCTATCATAGATATATTCATTTCTCATTTTATCTCTAAGAGTCAACTCACTCACCCACCTAAGCATTCTCGTCTCAGCAACACTTAATTTTGTTTTCTGCTTTTCTTTTAAAGGCTAACAATCTGCGGCATAGAACATTGCAGGTCTCACAACCATCTTATAAAATTTTCTTTTCAGTCTAAATCGTACTTTGCTATCCACAATAGGCCCAATGCATACCTCCACCTAAACCAACCAACTTGAATTCTACTAATAACATCCCATCTTTTTGAACAATAGACTCGAGATATCTGAAACGATCTCACCTTTTAATTATTTGATCACCCAACATTTCAACTCTGCCACTAGAGCTACTAATACTTAAATTATATTTCATGTATTCAGTTTTAGATCTACTCAAACGAACGCCTTTAGACCCCAAAGTAAAGCTCCATAATTCAAGTTTTTAATGAAATCTATCTCAGTCTTATCCACAAGAAGGATATCATCATCAAAAATCATACACCAAGGTGCATCCTTCTGTAAATGTCCAGTAAGAACATCCATAACTAAAGCAAAAAGATATGAGCTTAAAGTAAATCCTTGATGTAATTCAACTGAAATAGAAAAATACTTGTTCAATCCTCCTATTCGAACACAAGTAACAACTCTAGTATACATATTTTTAATGACTTGAATATAAGTCATATCAACACATTTCTTCTCTAAAACTCTCCAAAGAGCTTGTCTTGGAACCTTATCGTGAGCTTTTTCTAAATCAATAAAAATCATATGTAAATCCCCCTTATTCTCTTTGTACTTCTCCATCAAACCTCTCAATAAATGTATAGCTCCCATATTAGACCAACCTAGCATAAATCCAAACTGATTATGAGAAATCTTTATATCACGTCTTAACCTAATGTTCAATTATCCTCTCCAATAATTTTAAAGAATGATGCATCAACTTAATTACTCTATTATTTTCATACTCTCGTGCATCCACTTTATTCTTAAAACTGGGACCAAAATACTCATCTACCACTCCCCATACATCTTTTTAGTTCTTAAAATAATATGAAAGAGTTTAATAAGCCAAGAAAGTATCAAATCTCTTAAATATTTTCACATTTCAATTGGAATATCATCAGGTCCTACTGACTTTCTAACCTTAATTTTCTTTAAAGTATCATCAACTTCTTTTTTACTAATGTGACGTTAAAAATAAAACGTTTTATTATTATTAACAATATTACGATCACTAAGGTTGATCGTATTTTCTGAAAAATAAATGAGAAGTTTATCAAAATAACCCCATCCACCTAAATTGAAAATCTTCCTCTAAGAAAAACATTTTTTGATTTTCATCTTTAATACACTGCTTGAATTAAATATTTACTTTTCTTTTTTCTTTGTTTGACTAATTTATACATACATTTTTCACCAACTCTAGTATATAATTTAGGCCCTGTTTGGGGGTGGCAGTTGATCTGTAGCGCGGCGGGGGGTCGCGATTCTAGCTGTTTGGGGCGATGGGGCAGCCGTGGTGCCACGCGATATTGCCTAAAAGCAGGCCGCGAGTTCAACCCGCTACCCACTTTTTCCCTTCGACTTTTTACTCACCTGCCCTCGCTGTGATTCAATTCCGACCTAATTCCCTCCTACCTCATTCAGCTCTTGCATAAGAAAGGTGTGATCTTCCCCCTCCCTCCCCTCCTTCCTCTATTCTGATGCATCTCACACTTGTTGGTTCGTCATCTACCAATTCTGTTATTAGAATATATGCGAATGCCTTGAATTTTTTTTTTGATTTGGTTCGTCATCTTCCTCCTCTATGCGAATGTGAATAGCTCTTTTACTGGAATATATGTGAATGTCTTGTATGGAATGATTGTAGGGATTCAATGTGAATGCTATACATTTTTGGTGGCTTGATTTTTTGTTTGGTTAGGTGTGTAAAAAAAAGAAAATTCGTTCATGGATTGGGGATGACAAAAATCTGATGCTAGATTTTTTTTTGAGTGAAATTTATATTGGCTTGGTTCTGTTGGTCTCTGCATGAGGATCCGTCAATAAAAACAAGAAAAAAAATTATTGTAGATGCGGCTCGAGCATTGTTATTATTCTTTGCAGTGGCTGGCCTAGAGTGGCTTTGCCTTTAGTTTGTGCATGTGGGTTGGCACGATGTTATCTGACATTGTGTTATGGGTGTGACAATGTGTTATCACAGTTCTGTTTTAAACAACTTTATTAAACAATAACATAATGATCATTTTTGCAGAAACAACTGCTCCACAACAGTTTTCACACAGCTGCAATAAACAGACAATCAGCTTCCCCGCAGCAGCTTCCTGGGGCAACGCAACTGCAATTGAAAAACTGAGAAACTACAACTGTCTCAATACAGACCCTTATTGTAAAGATCACTACAAACATAATTTTTAGCATCACAAATTATTCTCTTAGACTCCCTACGGGCTACTTTATATTTTACCAACTATTTTTATTTATAAAAAAAATTTCCTTTTGATTCTTCCAATACAACTTTTGTCACTTGTTTAATAGTGTTTGTTACTTTATCCTATATAAAATTCGTTTTTTCATAAACATCATAAATCTTTAAATCTTAAAGTTTACTGATAAAAATAATTTTATTTGTCTTTGAGGCGATCCTATCTAATTATATGACAATATTTTCTTGTTTTATTCATCTTATAATTTTTAATCTTAAAATCTAAAATTAATAATTGATGTTGAATACTTAAATTTTTACTTGGAATGACCAATTTTTACATTCTCGATGATTTTTTTTTCTCATAAGAAAATAATAAATTTATATTTTATTAAATATATTCTTATAAGAAATAATATGCTCATCGTTTTTTTTAAATAAAATATTAGCAATAGCAAAATCATATGTTAAAGCAAACTTTAATATAGTTTTACCATCTTCATTAATCACTCAAAAACTATAGCCACAATGAATATTTCTAAAATCTTCCACCACTACTAACATGACCATTTCAATCTCCAATAAAATTTTTTTTTCCAAGAGGTATCATTTGAATTAATTATTCTTGGTCATTCCATAATTTTTCTTTTGACTTATATCTAAACATACTTGAGCATTAACACTTATAACATTAAAAATCTCAGTATTAATAATAATTTTTAGGGCTATAATTTTATCTCTAATTCTATTATTATTACAACATTATCTTTTAAACTTTTACCTATATATACACCTACACCATTTCTAGCGCTACTCTTACCTGAATGCTAAAGTTTAAAACTTAAGCTATCAATCTCCATAGTCTTTTCTCAATCCATTTAATTTCTTGAATACATAAGTTATTTATTTTCATATGAATCATAATATCAACTAATTCCATTAATTTACTTGTGAGTGTACCTATATTCCAAGATTTTATCATAATATTAGTTTCATGGACTAACTTTTAAACTTGAAAAACTATTAACAAGTTATTTAACGGAAAAAAATAATGCAAGGTTTCACCAAGTAGAGAAAATAAAACTTCATGCCGCTAAGAAGGAGATAAATTCTCCCAAAATGACCTTGGGGAGTAGGAAGCGGAGGAGCTACATTTCTAAATTGAGCAGGATCATCTCGAGGCAAAGGAGAGACGTTTAGCTTCGCTGGTTCCTTAACTTTTGCCCTATAGGCATATCTCCTGTTTTGAAACCAATTCAGAACCTGAAACGAACTTTATTATGTCAGAAAAGTTTTCAAGGGCCTTTTAGCAAAAAGAAATAGCGAGCTTCTAACCTGTTTGGGCTGCACAATCACTTTTCCAGCTCGTTCAGCTGACATACTTCAAAAAGATGACAAACTCTTAGTTGAGGTAAGAAACATCAAAATCTTAATCATGCTCATTATAAACTACGTCAAAATTACTTGGGGAAGAGGTTTAAGACATAATTAAAATTCTAAACAAAAAAGCATTAATGATTACCTGAACTTTTCTGCAAGCACACATATTGTCTCGCGAGGAGGGATTGAATTGCTTAAATTATTTACATCTTGCAAGCATGTTTCCATCTCCATAACCTTAAACAAATTAACTCATAATAAATGCAGTGTATCATCTTGTCTCAAATAAGGCTAAAAATATGCTTCAAAAAGGGAACTAGCAAATGGTATAAAAAGTTAAAAAAATGGGAATAGTACAAAATAAAAGAAACAAAATAAGTTGTGACAACAATTAAAATTGCATCTCAAAAATTAGAAAGGAAGAAAATAAAATTAATGAATTATGTTTCAGGCCTCGAGCTACAATTGATCAGATAGGCAAAGCTAAAAGCCCATAAATCGAGAAAAGCACAGCTTCAGCTCACTTGATTGACAAACTATTAGGCCTGCGAAGTTCGCCATTGACATAATGCAAGGTTCCAAGCAATCACCATATCACTATTCATCAATTTCAAGATCAACTGAAAGGACCTTCAGCACCAATTCAAGCTAAAATAGCCTATTTGTTCATGAAAAATTTTTCTAACTCGAGACTTTTTATATTGTCATCATCATCATCACCATTATATATTACCATTATTATCATCATCTAAATTTAAAAATAATTCAACATTAATTTTATTTTGCAAATATAAAAAAAATTTGTTTCTTTTATGAAATTAATGACTTTTATCTTCAATTAAGGGTGAAAAAATCAAAGAATAAATCAATCATTGTGGAAGCAATAATACAAAATCACCATCCTTCCATATAAAAATGGCCAAAATATACATGTTTGAAAGCATGGGGGGCGTCCTCCCCTCTGTCTTCCCTTAAAGTTCCACAACATGAAAGGAAAGCATAGATGTGATTTAAAGTTCATAATCCAACCATGTTTTATTTTAGAATAATTTATATAAAGAATCAAGCGATCAATCAAAGCATGAAGTGTGAAACCCTTCTGTTGCATCCTGTATTATTTTGGCTTGAACAGCTAAAATATAAGAATATAAGAATATACATATTCCCAACTTCGTCTTAATGGAGAAGGTCATTCCTGATCAATCCCAAGCTGTTCCCCAAATCAATCATTATTTAGATCAAGACAAAAGACACATTTCAGACACAATTCCATTTCAGAAACCAAAATCTTAACAGACATAGGTAAAATTCATACAATAATTGGCAAAGAGAGCAAGATACAGATATCAGTTGAAACGAGAAAATTTTGCAGAGCATAGAGACTCTTGCCATTCACTAGATCACCTTTGTTTGAGGCTTTACACCTTTTTGTTGTGTTTGTAAAACCATGGAAGAACCAACATTATAAAGCAATAGACGAAACTCATGTTTAAGGTCCAAATTTATTTGTTAATTTGTATTAAATTAGCATTTAAAGAGCAAACATTAAGATAATTGAAGATGTTGAATACATTTATATCTACAAAAAATTAATAACTTGCTTCAAAGTAACACATTTTAGTCTTCTAATTATTGTTGAATAACAAAATAACTCATATTACCTTTTCATTGTTTGGCTTAGTGATAAGGAATTAAGAGTAATTTTTTCTTGTACTCAGTCATAGAAAAACCTTGTCAATAATTTCAATTTACATCCACTTACAACCCGTTTGAGGGAGCTTATTTGGCTGGTGCGTTCTAAAAAAGTTGGATGAGGCGTTTGAAAACCACGGAGCGGTAGCATTGCTTAAAAAATTATGTTAAACGCGGGCCACAAGTTTGACCCCGCAATCCACATTTATTCGTGAACCTATTAGTCGTATGTCCCTCTCGGTGCACCCCTCTCACCGCTACCTCTCTCTCTCTCGTCTCTTCTGCCCTAGGTCACGCCTCTCTGGATCGCTCCTCTCTTGCGCCTATCTCCGGTGGCAATGGGTTGCCTTTCCCCTTTCCCTCCGATCTCTGGTGGCAACGAGTTGCGTCTCTCCTCTCTCCTCTCTCTCTTCTCTCCGACATCCAAGTCTCTGTCTATTTACTGTGCTATCGTCTTCCCACGGTATCACCTATTTTTTTCGATGGAATGGCTTTCTCTTTGCGATTTGTGGCTTTATTATTTGCGGTTTGAAATTATAATTTGGATTTTGCTATTTCTGGTATTTTCATTTGGGGTTTGAAGCGAGAATTTGAATTTTGCGATTTGTGGCTTTCTCTTTATGATTTGAAATTTTGATTTTGCGGTTTTGTGGCTGAATGTGATATAAAATGGGGTTTTATCTTTACCTTTGATGTTTGATTGTGAATTTGCAAAATGACTGAAAGGGGATGTTTGATTTGTTGATAGCAATATTTTGGGGTGCATATATGTAGTATCCTCAAATGAAAAATATGGCATGGGCTTTATCTATACCTTTGATGCTTGAGTGAGAATTTGAGAAATGGTTGAAAGATGGTATTTGATTTGTTGATAGCAATGTTTCAAGTGCTTTGTATGTAACTACATCAATGATAAAATTGCAGTGGGGTATTATCTTTACCTTTGATGGTTGAAAGAGAATTTGAAAAATGGCTGATAGGAGGTGCATGATTTGTTGATAACAATGTTTTGGGTGCCCTGTATGAAATTACAACAAATGCAAAAATTTGGGGTGAGGTTTATCTTTACCTTTGATATTTGGCAGAGAATTTGAAAAAAAAAATGTTGAAAGAGGGTGCTTGATTTATTGATAGCAATGTTTTGGGTTGCTCAGTATGGAATTGCATCAAATGAAAAATATGGGGTGGAGTTTTATCTTTACATTTGATGTTTGACAGAGAATTTGAAAAAGTGGCTGAAAGAGGGTGCTTGATTTTTTGATAGCAATGTTGTGGATTTGTAAGAGGTAGTTAGTGTGTGGTGTGTTTGTACTAGAGGATATGTTGGTGGATGTTTGGAGGTGGTGGTTGGTGTGTGGTTGTGTTTGTATTAGAGGATGTGTTGGTGGATGTGTGGAGGTAGTGATGTTGTGAAGGTGGTGATGTTGTGTGCGGTTGTATTTGTGTGGAGGTTTGTTGGTGTGTGGAGGTGGTGGTTAGTGTGCAATTGTATTTGTGTGGAGGTTTGTTGTTGTGTGGAGGTGTGTGCGTGGAGTGGGTGGCAGTGGAGATGCATAGGTATAATGTAGTGTGGAGAGGCATTAATGATGATATTGTGACATTCATATTTTTCTTTGAGTTACGATATTGTAGCATTCTTATTTATGTTAATTAGTTTTTTTCATGCTAGTAATACAATGATTAAGACAAAAGAGGTCGATTTATTTGCAATGTGTGATAAAGAGACAATTAATATTTTGTGACATTTGACTCAAAGAGGTCGAATTGGGAAGCAGATTGACAACATATTTCAACAAGAAAGACTGACAAAATATTATTAAAAAAATCAAGGAAAGTACAGACTGAGAGTATGATATGATCTAGTTAAAAAATAAGTGAGATTAACTAAAGAAGATTTGAAAATGCTGGAAGGAATTGAAGCGATGATCAATGAACTTGGGGTGGAATCTGGTAAAACAAACGATTGATGCTTTCAATGAGTGGTGGGCAACGAGACTAGTAGTGAACATTTTTTAAATGTCCCATATTTTTGTCAATTTTTAAATTATTTTTAAATCCAACATATTATATGAATTTGTAGGTGGTGTCTGCTGTGAAAAAATTTAAATACAGTGGAATTGATCCTGACCTAGAGAAAAAGTTAATCGTATATTTGAAGATGTCATGACAACGTGTAACAATGCATATGCCCACTGAGGCGGGGTTTGATGGCATCCTCGGAAATTTGGGAGCTGGTCAAACAAGTGATTCCAACGAAGGTCTTAGCCCGAACCTCCATGAAGTTGAGTCCACGAGTCAGTAAACGTGTCCCCTGGTCGGAAAAAAAAAGAAAGAACAATTTTTTTTAGAAGCCAAATCTCAAAGTTGATGATTTCATGCACCAATGACCCCGACCCATCACAAGAAACTTCTATCCAACAAGTTATGCGAATTATGGATGCAACTCCAAACTTTATGAGGACATGTCACTATATTTGTTCTCTATGAAGTTGCTTGAAAATTTAACCGAGAGAGAGTTTTTCATTACGGTGACCGCTTACCGTAAGGCGGCTTACCTACGTTATTTTCAAGAGAGCAGCCACATTTAAGGGACAATTTTTTATTAAATTCTTGTGGGACGTTTCATATTTGTTATTTGTTTATTTACTTTGAACATTTTTATTTGTTCATGATTTTTCATGCTGCTTTTGACATGTATGCTGCTTTGGACATGTCACTTGAGAGTTTTCCATTACTCATCATATTATCTATTTACTTTTGTAATGTTATTTGTTTATGTTGGCTTTGTTCATAACATTATATGATTATAGCTAATTCATTGATGCTTATGTGTTAGTTACTTCGATACCAAAATACATGAATGCAACTAGAGAAAGACACAGAAGGAGAGTTGCAACTTGTAGTATGCTTCATGTATGATTATTATAACTCGTACATAGAGCATTTCTTTTGCATTAAATCCTCATATGTTAGCAAAAAAATGGTTAGGAATTTACTTGTGTGTCACCCAACGAGATTTAGTAATATGTTCCGTATGATACAGACAGTTTTCACCGATCTATTGGACGAACTACACAGAGATCATAAACTTCATAACACATCTAGAACGACTTCACAAGAGGTGCTAGTAATAACTTTTTACATATTATCGCAGAATGAATCAATGCGATGAGCATATCCTTCTCAATAGGGTTGAATACACCTGTCAATTTTTCTTCACAAGTCAAAGTCAACGGATCCTACATTCGAACCGACCCTCACAGAGATTTCGCACGATGCGAGATATATTTCATATTTTAATGTAATTTATCATAGTTATTACATTCAATTTTCATATAAATATTGTAATTACGAAACCCTTCATTATCTTTCTAAAATTTTATTGGAGCAATCGATGAAATACATATTGATGCACATGTTCCAAATAATTAGAAAGTCACATTTATCGACCTTTGTGGGTCCAAAACTTTTAATTACTTTTGTATTAATTTTTACTTGTGTTATATCTTAGTATATGTTTTTCAAGTCTTCACGAAAAATGAGCTTAAAGATTTCAGGTACCTTCAAAGGATTGCACTGCTATTGTAAACTTCAATATTCTTTGCTCAATTCACGTCAACCACATAGCTACGTGAGACGGTTTTACAAGTGCTCACGGAGAATCATGGAAAATTGACTATTTTCAGTGGGCAGATTACCTTGAAAATTCCACCGCCAAGAGTGATTGGGCATAGAGAATATCCCTGAAGGACGGCTTAGCTCATGACATAGGTTGTATGTATTATATTTTTAATTGTTGTTTAAATATTTAATTTAAAATTTTTGTTAGTCATGCAACTTACTGTTAAGTGAGGTGTCTACCTTTATTTTGTAATGTTATACACTGGATATTTACTTTTAAAATATAGAATGTACTGCAATAAACAGTTCTATTGCAAACAACATTATTGTGCAGGGGCAGAATGATCATTTTTCTAGAAGTAGCTCTAGCACAACTGTTCTCAAACTGCAAAAAATAAACAGATAATCAACTTATCCGCAACACCTTCTGCGCAACAGCTTATTATTAAGCTGCAACTGCCTCAAACAGACCCTTAATTATCCAATTCTAACTTATTTACTTCCTTCTCTAGGTATATCATAATTATCTTTTGTAAGCATAAAATTTCACAAACTTTTAGAGAACATATAAAACCCTATTTGAACAATGCACAAACTACTGAAGAAGGAGAGCATTATACCAAAATAAGGAATATCCTCACATTCACATTTATAAGAGAAATCCATTTAGATCATGAAATTTAGAATAAAGCCTAATAAAACAAGAGCGGCAAAATCACATTTTCATTGTCAATTTGAAATGTTTAGTGCACCATGCTCTTAAAAAGCAAAAGTGGACAATAAAGGCTCAAAATAAATTAGAAATTAAAGAAAATACATTCGATGGGGCCATCATAAAGTACTTAGATAAAGTATAATTAATGTTCTCTACTTCATTAAAAAATATAAGGCCAACAGACAAAGAGAAAATATCCCAATCATAATTAAATAAATGAAAAAACAATTTTGGCATGCATAAAAGTGATTTTATAACATTTTCATAAGATATATGAAGAATATGAGCAATTAATGACTGCAATTAGAAGGCAACATGCAAGAGATCAATTGCTAGAGTTTTTTCCTTCCCTTTTTTCCTCTTAATTTTCTTCTTTTGTGTTGGCACGAACGTGATGGTCAGACTAAACATGTAATTTGAAATTCAAATCTCAGAGGGTTATCATTTAAGGATTTAGATCTCAACCTTGCTACATTTTATGCAGATATGGCACTTATAAAACTCACCTTAATGAAGCATTTAATTATATGGTACTTCTTAAACAATGAATATCAAGTGCTGTAAAGGTTATGACAACAAAAGCAAGGAAACGTAAGCGGGTCAAGATGAAGCCCTAATATTAATTTGACCATCCTAGGCCTCCAACTTAGATATTTGGCTAAAATTTGTTGATACTTTAGAAGTATTCAAATAAAAGGGCAATAAGTTCATATTGTGCCTTTCAAAATCATTATTAATGCCACTGTCCTGTAACAGGCATCAAATACGGTCAGGCCAGGAATTGTTCTTCAACATTCATTCTTGATATGAGTTAGAATCTAAACATCCATTTGAAGGACCCATCATCTTTTTAGTCTTCGCAGTTTTTTATTCCTTTCAATAACAATTACGGCCTGTTTAAGATTACTTGAGTTATTTATAAAATTAGTAATGAAAATACTGTGAAAGCTACCTCCCATCGCAAAAAATTTTTAAAAAGCAATATAAAATTGTAGGCTACAAAAGTATGACAGCAAACTATGAAGAAACCTGTGAGCGAGTCGACACCAATGCATCTTACTACAAGCTCAAGTGTCTGCATGCCCAAGCATGTCAATTTATTCAGTATTACTTTTTTCTTAATAGATGCAATTTATACCCACCTCCCCAAATAATCATCATCAACATTAATCTAATCCAAACTAACAGTTAGGTTGATGAATCATCATCCTCCGTTCTTATTGAGTTCGACATGTGTTGTTAGCTTCCTTCTGCATAAATCTCTAGGCGCAATTTTCAACCCGCCCTGTTACCTTTCCTACCCGTTATCATTCCTCATTTCATTCATACACTCATTTTATTGGTTCATCTTCTACTCTCTAATAGATCGCACTGCATATAAAACAGATATTACGTTTGAATGCTGTAAATTGAAGTGAAAAGAAATGAAAGAAAGTAGAAAAACTAAAATCTACGAGAAAATATTGCGTCCGTTCCGGATATCAAAACCCTAAAAAACAAAGAGGGTATACATGGATCTTAACCGGATGCTCATTGGGCAGGGTTTAAAAAGAAGGGAAACTAGGATTCAGATAGAATACCTCGTTCGCTGTGAAACGAAAGGCGGGGCCTCCGCCATGAGGGGGTCGCCCCATACTATCCCAAACAGAAAGGCGAAGGAGCACGATTAAGATCCAAAGCGACTGAGGAGAACTTGAACTTGCTTAGATGCTGCGCAGAGCCATGGAATTCCTGTGATGATCGCTGCTCGCGCTCTCTGCCGCCGGTTTGAAAGGACAACTCGGCTGCGTTTCCATAACAGATGTATTTAAGCTTGCCAAACTTATAAGAATTTCATCGAAAATTTAAAGTATGGGTTGGGTTTTGGGCTATGAATTTAGCTCGATTATCTCTAATTAATCGAAAATGGATTCTAATATTTTGATCGGATGGAGATTGGATCCCAGCTAAAAATTTTTTATCGGAGTTTTTCTCGAACTGATTTTGAGCCAATCTTAACTCGGCTCGGGATCAGATCGTCAACTATCTAGTTGAGGTTTTATCATGAGTTTATAGAAGTATCAAATAATTTCCGATTATTTTAAAATTAAGCTATAATAGTTTTATATGGGGACTATTTCAGTCCTCATTTAAAGAGCCTGGGACTACTTTGATACTTCTATAACTGCTTTATATAAATAGTTCGTGACTATTTTAATACTTTCCTCTTATATATAATTATTATTTCATAAAGGCTATTTGATCTTAATATTTTTTGGGATGTCAGTTTGATCTGATGAGTGATTTTCAATTGCAATCTAAACAAATTCAACCTAAAATATATTAATTTGAACTTAATCCATCATTAACAAACCAACACATGAATCCAACTCAACTAATTGACATGTTGGTTATCATGCGGAGGCCTGGCGGGCTTATCATAAACTTGCTTAGAATGGGCGGGCTTAGCTGTGATAAAATAAATATATTGTGGGCCCGGCCCTCCCCGAGCCCTCTTTGGCCTTGTGAAAACCCGACATAGCAAAACCCGGCCTAAACAAAAAATCTCAAAAATTTTTTGGAGATATAATTTGAGTAATGCTAATTTTTTATGAAATGATAAAGATTTGACTGTCATGTATGTAAATATGAAAGTGTAGGTGTTAGATATGTAAATGCATAAGAATTATTGGATATTGTTAAAATTTGTTTAAGATTTTAACTTGTATCGAGCTCCATTTCTGAGTAGAGCTGCTGCTATGATATTCAGATAGATTTGTGTTTTTTTTTTTTTTTTGGAATACATTTATCTTCTTGAATTTATTAATTTTTGTACCTTTCAGAATAAGAAGGGAATAAATCATTTCTTTAGTTGTTTCCACTTTATGTTTTTGCAAACATATATTAATAGAAGTCGAGTAAATTATGATGATATTCGGTCAACTACTAATTAGAGAGATTTTCTGTCTCATTTTCTATAATAAAATGATTTTTCAAAGCCCTTGGACTGGCTCGACCCGATGTTTAATGTGGGGGGACTTAACTGAGTATTTAAATAGAAATTGGGCTCAAGCTCGGCCCGTGCCTGTTTTGATTCGTCAAAGCCAATAAAAATCAGACCCACACCAAGCCCGGTCTTCCCAACGCCCAGGTGTAGCTATTATACATAATATTATTCAATTGACAATTTTTTTTTAAATATAATTTAATATGAATTTTTTATAAAAATAAAACTAAAGAAAATTAACTCCTTAATTTTTAGCTTAAACAAAATTAATTCAATTTTTTATTTTAGAAAATGTTACTATTTTAAAATGTTACTATTTTAAAATTTAAAATGTGAATAGATATATATAAAATAAAGAATTAAATTTGAAACATTCGATATAAAAATTCGTAAGGATTAAGTGGTACATATGTAAATCTTCCTTCAAAATATTGCCTTCTAACATCCCACGATCAATGTTTGGGTTTTCTCACCTCTATTTCTTCTTTTACAAACATGCACATATTCAAATTTTCTCTTTACTCAACTTTTCCGTGCTAAACCATATAAAAATAATGAATTGATTTATTGCTATTATGTAAACTTCACAATTCTTTTTTCCTTTATTTACCTCCACTAAAAATCCATGAATCCAAATAAAGCCTACACCTCAATAATATTTCTTGAAAAAAGTAAACTCAGAATAATATCATTTCTTAACTCGAAAGTCTAGCAATTAGAATGAAACCCGTTCAATACACAATTAACCTTGTGGATCATGAGCGACAATCTTTCCCTCTTCAATTTGCTTCTTAGCGTTGGCAGCAAATTAGATGCAAGATGCAACAAAAAAAAAAAACCCTAAAGGAAGAAGATGATGGCAGGCGGCACGTGCAACAAATTACGCATAGTCGAAATATATATATTTATTAAATTTAGGATATTTGATCCAAATTTAATGAACATAGATAGTAAATGTTTTGAATTTATTTTAAAATGAGAAAATGTAGGAACTAGCCTACTCTTATATTATATTTATCTCAAAATAAAACCAAGTAAATTTTGATCAGCCATGAGGGGCTGAACGAGCACTGTCTTTTAGCAAAAAATATATTGAGAGGGCAGCAAAATTAATAAAATGTGTAATCTACATGAAACTAAAGGATGGGCTTTCTCAAGCGGTACTGCTGAAATCTCTGTCTTGCATACGCAACATAATCAAAGTCAATTTCATTCACTTGTTCCTGCAAATAAAAGAAAAGATATTTATTTAGAAGATTGAAGAGCATGCATTTTCACAGGAGATAATTTGGGTATTTGAGTTATTACTCTGCGCAATTTACATACATGCCATTTAATTCCTATATAATTACACATCTAACACCTATACGTCAATTTTAACATATGAACCACCTTTCCTATGGATGTGTTGAACCTAGATTTGTCATAAATAAGAAAAGAAGAAGAGAGAGAATTTTAAGAGACTTAAAGAGTATACTATCAATAACACGTGTTTCTCCCGCCCTCCCAAAAGGGTTCCTTTACATTTCATTTTTCCTATATTTGTTGAAAATTGTGATAATTTTATGAAATGATGATAATGCCCTTGAAATTTTTTATTGTCAGTCGACCGTCGCTACTCGTTCACGAGATGATCATGTGTACAAACAAACCATTGCCTAACAAAACCTTCGCATCCCCTCTCCCAAGTTTGTGAGAAAATAGTTGTAGCAACTCATTTTCTCTAAGTTGAAATTTGTTTGGCTCGGTCAGTTGATCTATTCGGTCTCCACCGATTCAACGGATCTCATGCTCACCGGGGTCGATCCCCCAACCTAACACGTGTCCCATCCAGAATTGTTGGATTTTGTCCAATGTATTTTAATCACATGGGATGAAAATATGCAATTTGCTTTTTAAAAGTTAAAGAAACGAAGTTTTTGGCGGACAAGAAGGATTTGCATGGTTTAAATGTAGAAAAAACAAAGTTTAGGTGCTAGATATGTAAATGCATTGGAATTGGGAGCTATGTATGTAAATTCCCCTATTTTTTATATTTGAAACGAATGCAAAATATTAGTTACACTTTTCAAAATTAATCTAATGAAACTAAATCGGATCAAATTTAAGTACGAATTGTCTGATTAAAATTGTCAAAGTGAAATCGGTAAATAACATCCAACTAAATAATAGTAATATAAAAAAAATTATATTTACTGTCTTTAATTAATTAAAATGAGTGAAGTGTCAAAATAGTCCTGGATTACTGATATGGGGTCGTTTAGTCCCAACGTATATAGAAGCGTCGAAATAGTCTCCAACTAAATTGAAATTGAACTCTAATAGTCCTTGAATATTTTAGTCACAATTTAAAAGCTGTGGGGACTATTTTGACACTTACATAAATTTTGAGGCTAAAACGGCCCCATGTAAATAATCAAGACTACTTTGGCAATTTAATTAAAAATGAGAAAGGTTAAATGACGCACCGAGATTATACCCCATAAGCCCCAGATAAGATGGCTGACAAGAGCATATTTCTCAATCGAGTCAAGTAAATCATCAAGTTCCGCTTCAGATGGATCTTCTTCACCTTAACGAGAAAAAGGTAAAATTTTAGAGTTGTCTAAGAACGAAAAGAAAGACAAAGATATGTAGCAGGTGAGAGTTGGCATTTGCATTGTTTTAATGGATTTACCTGAAGATTTCAGATATATATGAACAAATCTTCTGCGCTGCTCAAGCTCTGCCATTGATTCGTAAAAACAAATTAGAAAAATGATTCCATCCCTACTGAAAAAATAAAAAAATAAAGCTTCCAGTGTACATTAGAGGTATTTTATTATAGTTATGTTGAATATCTTATTATTGGGGCCTACATACATACCGCATAATTCTTATTTATTTATATATCTAGCACTTAAACTTTAATTTTTATATTTATAACGTTTATTTTAATGTCACATAAAAAATATCATTATTACTAGCAAGAAAAATCAAAATAAAAAACACCATTTTTAATTACATGTTAACCAAATAATTGAGATAATTAATATTACAAAAAATTCCATTAAATCCAAGAGCTCCTAGAAGGACAGATGTATTTAGATATTGCATAATATTTGAAAATAATAATAATAAAATTAAAGGGCAAAAAATAGAAATATATAGCGCCTGCTATTTACCTGGGTATTTCCTATAGTCCAGAACATGCGGGGTGTCGGAATGGTAATCAGCAGCCATTTCACAAAAGTGATTAGCTATATCATATGCGATTGGGTTGAAGCCTGCATACTCGTAGTCCTGGGAAAACAAACAAGCAGTACAAACATGATTAAAGCATTCTTTACTAGGCCATAAAAGCTAATTTTAAAAAAAAAAATTAGTAATGTGTGCGTCTGTGTATGTACAAGTGCTGAAGCCTGAGAATGTAAATCACAGTTTTAAGAGGTTGCACCTGAAAATATGGGTTTTAAAACCTACAAACAGCTTGAAAATCCCTCAAAAAAGATGATTTCATGTTAACCTACAATTTATTCTTGAAGGCGTGTCCGAGGTTGTCTGCTAAGCACTCATTATCAACAGAACAGAAGAATCACATAAAGCATAAAGCATTTTTTTTTTTTTTTGCAATTTATGTATTTACTTTTTATTAGTTTAAATATTTTTTAAGGTATGTAGTTTACACCTTTGGAGCTCGAATAAGTTATCTTCTTGTACCAAACATAACATTTAATTACTTTTTAAAACAAATGAGTTATATAAATTGCACCAGACATAATAAAACAATAACAAGTGCTGATAACTCACTATTATGGTGATTTGTTTTGTTTCCTCGTCCATCATAATGTTGCCATATTGTAGATCATTGTGGCAGAATCCAATTCTGTGTTCATCCCCTGCCAACAACTTTTCCAAGGAACTAATCTGCTCTCCTAAAGTATCCAAACAGAATTCCTTAGCTTGTTCTGCAGAGCACAAGCTTTGGGCTGCTTTGAGCCAATTTCTATAAGAAACACAACCGGACCAGTGTCAGCAGCAACAAAATATTTTTGTTTTTTTATACTTCAGTTTTTATTTTCATTTTATTCTGTTTATGTTTTGATTTAAATTTAAACATATTTGATTGGGATAATTATTTAAACAAAACATATAAAAGTTATGCTATTCAAATATTAAAAAAAAAACAACGGAAAAATTATAAATTAAACAAGAAAAAAATGATGCCAAACTGGCCCTAGGAGTCATTTGGGAGTTGGGACCATTTTTATTTATTATTATTATTAAATATATATATATATACATACATATATTATACGAACTAAATTATATATATATAGCTAAAATATGGTTGTTTTTTAAACCACCCCAAGCACCTAAAATTTATATTGTTTTTAAAAAACACGTTCATTTATTTTTGAAAACAAAAAATAAAAAACAATAAAAATAAAATTAATCCCAAACAAGCGCTAAGGTTACAACATACCTTAATCTGTCCCATAGATGAACTCTCTTAGAACCAGGCATGTCGAGGTTGTGAAACTCCCTTAGTTTTGATGCTATAATAGCAGATATTTCTGGGTCATGCAGGTCAGTTGCCGATAGAGTCTGGAGTTTAAAACATACAGAAAAATATTAGAAGATTACATATTAAGAACGGCATGACAACAAACATCATGAATTGATACTTAAAATGAAATATTTTTCATCCATTTTAAACGCTTCATCAAATCAATCTGAACAAAATAAAGAAGTTTCATCTGAGCCATTTAGATCGAATCTATATTAAAATTCTTGATAAAACCGCAAATCATATTATTCATTTTTATCAAATTATTTCTCAATGAGTTGATCGTGGGCCGTGGCATATTAAAAAAATCATTTGGGGTGCTTGATTTGTAAATATTTATATTTTTGGTGGCCTACATGTAATTATGCCTTAATTTAATTTTCATGAATTGGATATCTGATGCGTTATTTTATTTTTGTAATCAAGAGCTAATAGAAGTCAATATCAAATAATATGGATGAAGTAGAATAAGAATCCAAAAAAGTCAAAAGAAAAACCAAACCTCTTCCGTGGAGAATTAGATTGCTGCACTTATATTGCATTCAAAGAAACCACAAGATTGAAAAAAATATATAAAAGTTTGTTAAACCAAAAGATACTGATTACATGGATCAAAATATAAATTTATACCCATCATCTTAAACTAATAGCCATGGTTAGCATAAGATTCAACTTAATCAAAACTTAAGTCAAATCACAAGAAAAAAAAAAAGGAAGATTTATATATAAACATACCACTCAATTCATATGTATATACATATCTAAACTTTAATTTTCACTTACATGCCATTGTACCTATTCATGAAAAGGTGTATTTCAGATTTTAAAAGAAAACATGATGGTATTTTTTTACATGAAATGAATGATTGGAGGGGTATAAATTATAAAAAAACAAAGTTTAGGAGTTATATATGTAAATAGATAGGAATTGGGCAGCATGAATGTAAATCCAACCCAAATTTCCACCGCCAAAGAATATGTTAAATCTTATCAAAACAAAAGAATTTATGTTTAACAATTGCTGATGAATTAGACACCACAAGAATATAGCGAGCAAGCAGAACAAAGCACACAATTACCTTAAAGACTAAAACTAGAATATGGAAATGACAATAAACATCTATGCATTCTTTAAGGCGGTGTTTGGTAGCATACTATTTATTGGATTTAACCATGGATTCATCTTAAATCCAGCCAAGCACTAGAAAAAAAAATATGAATCCACCGCTCCGTTAAATCTACTTTTGTCGGGTTCTGTCATTTTTACGACATAAATCCGACTGTGAGGAAAATTTATAATATTTAATAAATTTTATTTAATGTAAAACTAAGTTGAGCCAAACACCGTCTAAGACTGAAGTAATAAATTCCAATTTGATCATAACACAAATAAACAAATTAACTCAAAGTCTTATGCCTATAAAAATGTAAAAGTTATTCCTATGAGTCCACAAAACCCACATAAGAAGTTGATTTTGAAATGTAATGCCATGCTTTTCTTTTTGTATAAAGAATAAAATGTACTTCAGTAATAGCAATAGTAAGGCAAATCAATGCCATGTCTATTACAGGTTATTTATAATTTTTTTGGGAGAACGGTGGATTCAAACTCAAAAAACTTAACAACAAATTCATAGATATTTATAAACTAAATTAGATGACACAATTAGAAACTTGAAAAAAAAACGTAATATTTTAGTGGTCCATCAGAAGTTTGTTTCCTAATCGGACAAAATAGCCTTATCACGTTGTTTTCAAACTTTTCATATAACAGCTACATTAACAGAGTAATAAGTGACTTTTAGTGCTACGAAAGGCTCTTACCTTATCCAGTCAAGTAACAGTAAAAGGTGAATGAAAGGTCTCCCCAAAAAGCCAGAAATAACATGCAATCAAATTAACTATGTTGTAAGCATTAGTCAAATTCTCGCTTCTTAAATTATCATTTATACACCCATAGAAGAAAAATGGCATGAGTTACATAAGCTTCAAATTAAACCACCCTTTCTTAAATACAAATACAAATTAAAAAAAAAAAAAAAAAACAGAGGTAGAGATTCTGAGAGACAAATAAGATCCACTCATAAGTTAATTAGATTCAAGTGTCAAATTTAAATCTAATCATATAAGACAACAAATAATGACGAACCCAGGAAATTAGAAGCATAATAAACAGTTTGCTAGCAGATGTTGCAGGGTGAAAAAAGACAAATACCGCTTTACAAAGGAATCGCAAGGGAATCAATTAAAAAGAAAAAAAGAAAAAGATTCGTTGAGATGGAACCATACCCTGGCATGAATGAACTCCTCGACGCGGCCATTGTTGAATCTCCCAAGCAATCGCGGACCCTGTCCATGCCGCGACATGAACTCAAATGTCCGGATCTCATCCTCCCGATCGAAGAACACATCCACCCCTTCCCCATAAATCCTAACCAAAACCTTCCTCCCCCTTTCCCCTTCACTTCTCCCCTCTGCCACCCAATTGATCTCAAATACCTCGTTCGTCAACGCCCCCTTGAGCGGCACCACCTCTATCGCCCTCGAATCCGTCACGTCACTCCATTCCGACGCCAGCGAATGCAGGATCTTCCTCGCTTCGCTTGGAATCCGATCCAACACTTCCATCACCTTACCACAGGTCCGATCCGATGAAATCAGGGATTGATCGTATGAGAAAATACGGTATTGTCTGGCTTTAAGCTAATCTATTGAAATCCAAAATCTGCTTTAATTCCGATGTGATCAATCGAAGACGACGAAGACGGGGTACTTTTAGAGAATCCGATGAGAAGGAAACAAAGATGTTTATCACTTCCAGAGAGAGAAGCGAAGAAGAATTCGCTTAGTGAGTGAGAGAGGGCAAGAGGGACAGAGAGAGCTTTCGTCGTCTTTCTTTGAATTTTCTGCGGCGAGGAATGCGGGAGTGCAGTTCCATTGTTTATTTATAGGCTAGCAAGCAGCGCTTCGCTGCTCGGGTTGATCATTCTCTGCAAGTAACTATCCCGCGTTAACATTTTTTCTTTACTTTTTCCTCTGCACCCACAATACACCCTTTGTTTCCCCAAGCTGAGGAGTTGGGCGAAATGTTGTGTGCAACTGTGATCGTCTCGAATTTGGTCTGTAAATATAATGGATTGGGCATTTGACCTTTAAGGCTTAGAGCTTAAAAGGAATCGTGCTAATTATATAGGTTTATGAAAAATGTGCGTAAATTTTTTATTTTATTATTCTTCTGAAAATGGTGGCTCAAAAGTCAATATGCACATTTATAACTGGTAAAATCACAGCGAAAAATCACAAATCGCAGCGAATTACAACCCAACAAATATAACATTGTTTAATCATTGTAGGATGTATAATCTTGTATTGTTCATGGATTCATATAGATCTGGAGAAACTTGTGTAAGCGGAGCAGGATGAATGAAGAGAATGAATGTGTTCTGCAGGTCTGAATAATTCTTAATCGACATAATGAAGAAGTTGATATAAAGAGTAAGACAAAATGAATAAAAAAAGGAGTAAAGGAGATCCGCAGAGAGTCACACAGACTCAGATCTATAAAAAAGGCCTAGAAAATTGATCTCCCTCACCTCCAATCATGTAATTTTAAGAAAAATAATAAAATATGAGTTGTGGCGTCTAAAATTTATCAATGTGTGTCTCAATGAAAAGATTACAGTGTGGATATCAGACATCTCATAAATGATGATGTGATATGCGTGAATCTTTGATGTCGATCTTAACTTCTTCATTATGTTAATTTTGATGAACACTGACAAGACGAGCTCGTCTGATGAATCGTATTTATCAATCTCCTCGGTGAATCTGGAAGTTCAGTTCGTCGAGCCAGTTCGATTGGCTCATTTACTTTTTCTTAGGTACAAAAGTAAACATATGTTAAATAAGTGTTAGAATTCGTAAATTTTAAATATCATTTTTATCACAAGTTATTTTTTAATTTAAAAGTATTTTATGATAATTTTAATAACTTCTCCCCTGTTAAGCGTCCGGCGTAGCTCGAACTATCAATATCATGCGGAACAGTGATAGTGATGTAATAAAAAAGTAATGAAGGTATGGTTGAAATCTTATGTTATGAGTGTTCATTGCATTTATATGCCTTATATCTAAATTTTGATATTTAAATATATAATATTTTCGTATTATAATCATATTAGAAATGAGTGTTATATTAATTAGTCCAAAGATGAGCTATTGGTGAACAAGTCTTCAAGTCAGATTATGCATGAGAGTCTCCAAACGCAATTCAAACTTTTCAAAATTAGGTGTGCGGTCACCATCGACATAACTGACGCATCGTTTTTAAAACAGTGGCAATTATTCCTCACACACAAAATTAATGGGACATTTACATAAATACCACACAATTCCTATGCATTTACATATATATTACCTAAAAGTTTCTTTTTTAATATTTATACTAATTTGAATATTACATATCACATCAGAAATTTTACCATTTTAATTTTTAATTTTAAAAAAATAATAAAATTCACCTTTTCAAGCATATGGTGCCATATATGTAATAATTGAAATTTAAGTTGGATATGTATACATATAGGCATTAAGAGTGCATGTAAATCTTCCAAATATTATTTTTCTTTCATTTAAGTAACTCTTTTCAAGCCTAGTGTGTGCCACCGATAAGGGTGAACCGTGCACGAATTTTTTAAGATGATTTTTTTTTTAAAACGTACATATCTTTTTTTTGAATTTATAAAGAATACAATTTTTTAAGCACCAGGCAACACCATCAATCTGGGCTGTAAATGAGTCAAGCTCGAGCAAATGCCATTACCAAGCTCAGCTTGTTTGCTAGATTATGAGCACAAGCTCAAGCTTGGCTTGAACTAAAAATTTAATTTTTATATGGGCTCGCCAAAGAAGGTATTGTTGGCTGCAGGAGAAGAATGATATAAAAATAATTCACCAAAAAATGCATTAAAATTATTATCGATAGGTTAATCAATACAGCCTGAGATCCAATGAGCAGAGCCGGGAAGAGCTCATTTAATGAACGAGCTCAAGTTTGAGCACGAGCTTCAACTCATGCATAGATAAACTCATTAACAAGCTGGCTCAGCTCATTTACATCCCTACGCTCAACCACGACGACTCAGATAAATGCGCAATTAATTTTACTTCGCATATAATATATAAAAATTTTCTTATTTCAGAATACTGAAAACGTGCTTAAAATACTTCAATATATTTCATAAAAACACGTGCTTAAAATCAAGCTTTTGAGCCAGCATAAAAGCCGCGAGCCAAATTTGAGCTCAGATCAGGATCAAGCCAACCATACATCTCATCTGTTGAGCTCGAGTTTAGTACGACTTGTTCACAGCCCTAATCATTAACATGCGATAAAAAACGTTGATTGACTTGCAATAATGATCCAAATGCAGTCGATGTTTCCATTGATAAATAACGAAAACAGATACATTAACGATCACTAAAATTAGTTTAAAATACTCTTAATACTATTTAAATGAACAAAATTGCAACGGCTAGGTATCGAACAACATTGACGAGCTGAGTTTGTTTTTGAAGAGAAGTATACACATACCGCCCAATTCTTATGTCTTTACATCTCTAGCACATAAACTTCCTTTTTTTTTTTACATTTATGCCACTCAAATCTTTCGTATCACTACAAAAATATCATTATTTTAACTTCGAAAAAGGTGAAATACATCTTCATATGCATAGATAAGATGACACATTTGTAAAAATTGATGTTTAGGTGTTAGATATATAAATACAAAAGAATTGAGTTACATGAATGTAAATATTCCCTTTTCAAAATCACACTACCAGGGTGGGGCTCTTCTGCCCGTGTGATCGCCTTTGTTTAAAGAACTTGAAAATTGTTTTCCTCTTTAGTAGAAAACAGAAGAATAACAAGAATAAAAGGAAGATGATAGGAAAATAATACAAATTCAAACACAGAAAGCCCGAGTTAATGTGATCAATTCCGTTGAGCAACGCATGGTTTCCTGCATATTCCTCTGCCGGATCCAGTATAAAATCTAAGTTCACAGCTTCATCCTCCAGAAAAATATTTGTAGTTTTTGTTTTGAATCCAGCCATTGAAGCAGTGACTGAAAAAGACAAAGGAAGATTTAAATACATACCGCTCAATTCTCATGTATTGACATATCCAACCCCTTAAATCTTTGTAATTTTTACATTAGTTTTAAATCTTTTTTCAAATTAACCCCATGATGCGGCAGTGTCTCGCCCAAGTCACCGGATCACACATGAATTAGTTGATATCTTTAACAAGAGCTCTAAAAACTCTCCATATTTATATATTCGTAAGATATATAGGCTCTAGTTTAATCGAACTGTTATCGTACGAAACAAAATAACAAGATTTAAATATGTTAAATTTAGAAAGCAATAAATTACGAGATATAATTTTATGATGATGCTTTATAACCACTTAATTGAGCATATTCAACTTATTATCTTTCTTTTGTACTTGTCTTCTATGCTCATATATAGAGAAATAATACACATGAATTCTCTTGTAAAGCAATTTACATAGGAGTTACCTTCATAGCTTTCTCTAGGAGCTAACATGCGATGATAATCACCAAATATCCTGCCAGCATTCACCTATACAGAAAAAAAAAAAAGAAAAAACAAATTAAATCAAACTATGTCATAAGAATGCATCCATTCTTTTTAACACATTAACCGCCGATAGTTCGCTAAAGTAAAGAAGGTTGCAAATTACAACATCCTTTTCTTTTTTACCGTTCTAGCTACCATTTTAAACATTTGGTAAAACTGTGATTATTTTTTCATGGCAACTTATCAGTAAGCAAGGTAAGTCAAACAAAATTTAGCATAAATTAACTAAGTTTTACGTCAAAATGGGAGTTTGACCAACAATAATGGGTTTAAAGGTTCCTCTGATTCAAAAATAGAGCAATGACACATTCTTCATCAAAATAATTCATTGTCCATACGCACCACACAATTCTTATGAATTTACATATCTAACACTTAAACTTTGATGATTACATTTATAACACACCCTAGTGCTATAAACCTATGCATAAAAACGTTCATTTGACTACTATAAATTAGTAAAAGTGCTATTTTTATATAACGTTAAAGATTTGAGTGTTGTTAATGTAAATATTAAAGTTTAGGTGTTAGATATGTAAATGCATAAGAATTGTGTGAAATGTATGTAAATAGCCCAACAAGTTTTTGTCTGCAAATGTGTTTCAAAAGAACATACTCCATAATCAATCCCCTCGATCTTTACAGATGCTTGTAAAGGGCGACCATTGTTTGATGCGAATATCCGACCGTGAATTCCTGCCTGTAAAACGCAAATAACCCTTCTTTAAAACTAAAGAATTTCAAATACTGTCAAAATCACTACCAACATTAAAATATTAAAGCATTTACATGCATAATACACAATTCCAGTGTATTTAAATACCCAATACCTAAACTTTGGTTTTACATTTACATCACCCATATGGCCAAATCTTTCACATCACATCAAAAATACCACTATTTTAATTTTTAAAAAGTGAAATATACCTTTTCATACTTAGGTAAGATGATTTATGTGTAAAAATTGAAGTTTAGGTGTTAGATATGTAAATACGTAAGTATTGAGTGGTATGTATGTAAATTTTTCCCACTTATGAAGTACATATTTCATTGCTGGTTGCATGGGATGGGACTAATTATTAGTTTTGTCACAGGAAATACAATGAGAGAGATCAGTTTTATTAAAGATTCTACATATAAGGATCAAATGTATTTACTATATGAAGCAGACTCCAGATAAGGAAAAGAGTCTATTGTCTTCGAACACCAAATGCGTACTGCTTCCATGAACAAATAAAAATATGTACTGCATAAGTTGCTACATGGTGCTGAATGAAATGGAAAACTTACATAAAATTATCATATTTCTTCGTCTGCAATAATACAACTAAGGTCACAATTAAAAATATATTATGTAAAAATCAGGAGGGTGATTTTATTTTTTTTTTGCTATCACTAACACCAACTTCATGAAAACATCTAGTTTCCCTCCACATGTGCACACTTGCATCACTGTTGGTTGTTACCATCCATCGCAAACCAACTCCACTCTCATATAAACACCTTATATTTCGTCGTTTCACTTGCATGTAAGGCATACTTAGTGAGAGATAATTTTATAAAAGATAAAATGGCTAAAATGATCCATGGACTATTTATGGGGAGTATTATAGTCACGATTACACCAGAGTTAACCCAAAATCAATAACAAACTAATATTATTATTGAAAATCAAATAGGAAATTATAGTCAGACATGACAAGCAAACTCACACTAGGGTTCGATCCAGGGGTTGTGGTGGTCGGTTATAGGATTTGGAAGAGGTGACAAGTTGTAGTAATGATGATATGGGCCTGGGATGAAGTTTAACAATGGTTGGAGCAGTTCTTTTGGGAGTAGCAGCGAGTAAGGGGGGCTGAAGGAATACAGCATGAGATGGCGGCAACAAGGAACGGCAATTGGGAGTGATGCAGGAAGAATGGAGAGGGTGGAGGCTGCAAGAAACAACATGAGGGGAGGCTGGCCGCTGGTTCTGCAGGAGGAAAGCTAAGGATTAGCTATGGGACGTTTTATTATGTGGCTGTGGCAAGGAGGGGGAAGCTGGACAGCAGGAACTGCAGAAAGTCTATTCCGGGCGGCTGCAGCGGGGAAGGGGTGGTGATGGGGTGGAAGCAGGGCAAAGAAAGTTCAAGATAAATACCCCTTACAACCAGAGCACCAGTCGACCATTGAAGGAGAATCATCACCTCGGAACGAGATACAATCAGGGCGCCCCTCGCCCTTAGGTGGCGCCCTTAGATACAGTTCTAGACGAAAAAAAGGTCAACGACAAAGGCTATCCTGACAGAAGAACAATAAAAATCGGACTCACACCCTAAATATATATATATATTATATATATATTAAACTGAGGTAACTTGGGATTGTCCCCCACGTCAACTAGCAACAAATCCTGTGAAGGCCGACCCACTCCCTGGACCTTCCTACTTGAACCAAACGACCAATCTAAGGGTGGAAAGAAACCCAACCCACTCGAATTCCTGATGCAGGACCCATGATGGTCTTGTTCAGCCCCCCCACAACAAGTCTACATTCTTGTCAGTCTCCCGGGGTTAAGGGAACATCGACCTCATCCGTCGAAGAATACGTTTCCTCGTAATAAGGGGTCAAGTTAGACATGGTGAAGGTAGCAGAAATGTTCTAATCTTCTCTTAAAAAGTCAATCATGTAGATATTGTCATTCCAAAGCACATCGTGATAGAATAGGTATATGTCTCTTTTGACACAACCTAATCTGACATTATAGAAAGACAAGTATTCTCACAAATCAGGTCTTGATCCATCAAATATGCAAACTAGTTCACCCAGTTCTCGTGCTCGTCTGAGTATATCTGATAAAAAAGTATGTAAGGGGGATTCAACTCTGGGACAATCTATGACGGGCTGGGCAACTCTCAATAGTAACCACTAGGGAAAGGTCTTTTCTTATTCCTATTGTAGAATTTTTTTCCCCACCAAGGGATAGACAATTTTCAAATTTGTGGTTCATCCCTCTAGTTTGGTCATTTGTTTGTGGGTACACCGCTAAACTAAATTTAATATCCGAATAACTCCACATAGTCTCCCAACAATGTAACTCACAATCATCTCATTTTTGATAAGTTGTTCTACTTTCAAGGGTAACCACACAATAGATAAATTGTCAGTCGGAATGTCCCTCTTAGGTATAGACTCTTAAAACTTGCTAACTTCTAGAAACCTTGACTAATCCAATTGGAGTCTCTTTCGTGGACTCATCTTGAATCACTAGTTTATCTTGTTCATCGGTTTGAAGCCAAAGCTCATCTCTGATATCTTCATCCTTTCCTATGTCGCTATCTATTTCTTCATCCACTCCATGCTCAGTGGAGGAGCTCATCTCCTTGGTTGGGCAATCTGATTCAATATGCCCAAATTCGTGGCAATAGAAACACTTCCTGGTTGTGATAGATTTTGGAATGTGTATTAGTTCCACATGTTCCCCACTTTGAACTAGTGTCTCCTTAACTAGGATCGGCTTGGATGGTCTGCTAAGTGTATTGTTGTTGTTTGATCCTAGGTTGAACTCTACCTATAAAATGTGGCGGTCGTCTGGTGATTTTGTCTCTCAACTTTTAAAGCAAGGATCTGAACATCTTGACTGTAAAGAACTGGGAGATATTGGCGTTGTATCTCTCATTTCATCTTATCTGGTAAATTTACTCTTCCTTTATCGTTGTCAAAATAATCTTCAAGTATTCCCACCGAAAAGATGCCCTCTTCTTTAACTTGCTGACAACTAATTTCACCATTTTGTCCTGTAGGACATTTTGGCACTCAAAGACACATTCCAATGTCCAGAGCTACTCCATGAACAAATTTGGATCCCTGTAACTATAAAGATATGATAATTACTTTAAAATCCTGGATTTTCTAATATTTCATGTCAAATCTTTGAGGCAATGGTTCTTCATCTCGGGGAATCAAATAAAATTTGTGTGACCGTTGAATGGTCTCCTCTCGAACGCGGCAAACCATTGTTGCAGTTGGAGGGTTTCCATAGCAATCCTTTATAAAAGATTCCTAGACATCGCTTTGTGGATTTCTCATGAACGACATTGTGGCATTTCCTCCCAAACAGGTCTCCGACAATTGTCTTTTCGATAGCGTGGTTGGGGTTTTGGCTTGGGTAGACGAAAGAGGGTGTATAGAGATGATGTAAGGCGGGTAAGAAAATGTTTTTTTGGTCGTTTAAAAAATTAGCAAAGAGAAGGATTTTTCTATGGAGATAGGATTGGTTAGTGGTGGGTACTAGAAATCTCAAGATATGATTAAAGTTATGCTAGCTCTGATACAAAATGATACCGGAGTTAACCCAAATAACAATAAATAAAAAAATGTTATTAATGAAAAGCCGATATGCGGTTAAGACCAACACAATGAAAAAGAAAATAATAATAGACACGACACACAAACTCATACTAGGGTTCGACCCAGGGGAGATGGTGGTTGACTATGGGGTTCGAAAGCGGTGAAAAGCGGCAAGAATGATGATATGGGTGTTGGGATGAAGTATAATAGCGGTTGAGCAATTTTATCGGAGTGGTAGCGAGTAGGGGTGACTGGATAGCAGGAAAACAGCCTGAATGGCGGCAGCTAGGAACGGCGACTGAGAGCGATGCAGAAAGGTTGAGAAAGAATTGAGCCAACAAGAAATAACACAAGAGGTGGTTGGTAACTGGTTATGCTGGAGGACAACAAAGGAGCAACTACGGGACGCTATTCTATGTGGTTGCGGCAAGGAGAAAAGAGAAGAAAACAACAAAAGGAGGCTATTCCGAGCGGTTGCCGCAGGGAATGGGAGGACGGGAGTGATGGGGCTAATGTGGGGCAAGAAAAGTCAGAGATAAATACCACATCGGGAACGAGATACAGTAGGAGCACCAATCGTCGGGGCACCATTCGCACTTGGACACGGCCTTGAACAAAAAAATAGGGGATGTCGACAGTTGTCCCAACATAAACAACAAAAAACTGATGATAACACATTAAAAAACAAATATCTATAACCTAGGTTAACTTTGGATTGGCCCCCACATCAATTGGAGGCAAATCCTGTTGAGGAAGAGTTGGTTGGCTCACTGGATCTTCCCACTTGAAACACAACCATATATGTCCTAGACGAACATCCATAAGTACTGCATTCCACCACATCTGGCTCTAGAACTTATTTCTAATAAAGAACTTCATAAGACATCTTTAATAAAAAGATGATCTCATTCTCTCACTTCAACCAAGATAAGTAATACAATTGGGTGTGATTTTGTATTGTAAGGCTCAACTACATCTTTCGATAATAAGATTGCACATAAGATTGCACCAAGATAAGTTAACACCATGTTCTCACAAATACATCTTTCCATGATAAGATTGCACATATTTTCCTTCACAATACATCAGGTATGAAAGATATTGCGGAGCAACTATTGTTGATCTCAGATAGGCTTAGTTTAAAGGATCTGTCGAGCCTTTAACATCTCTCTCTCATCAATAAAAAGTTGAAATCATTCCCGCACATTCTCATTTTTCTTGTGTCTCCAATATCATTATTCACTTCTTCCACCACTGATTGCTCAATAAAAGAGATCTTACTCCTATTTGGACAATGTAATTGTATGTGCTCAAAACCATAGCAGTTGTTACACTTCTCAGTTATGAAGAACTTGGAAATGCTAGATCCACTCATCTACTCTCCACCATGGATTGATTTCTCTTCACATAGAGCCGATTTAGGTGCTTTGGCAGGTGTAACCTTGTTGCTTGATCCTAAAGTGTGGCAGCTCCTGAGTGACAATATTGCTTCTCCACCTTCAAGACTAGAGTTTGTGCGTAAGGATCAAAATAGCTACAATTGCACCGCAATTCGAACAGATAATTTTAACTCTCTAAAATACTTCTCCACCGCGCGTTTCTCTAGCTCCAACTCACATTTCAACATGAGTTGTTCAAATTCAACAAGGTATATCTCCACAAATAAATCTCTAATGCAAATTATAGAGTTTAAGGAAAAAATCCTATCAATAATGCATAAAAAGTGTTTGCATTGGATCTCTCTTTTTATTTTAAACCATGTAGTGATCTTACTTTCTCCTTTACATTGTCGGAGGGGATTTAAATTTTCCACCACAAGGAAACACTCTTCATGAGTTTGGAAGATGTTTGCACTTAAAAATTTGTTCCAAAATTTGGAGCAATTCAATGAACTCATCTAAATCTATACGATCATCAAAGCACGGCAAGTCGACCTTCACATAAAAGACCTTGCCTCTTTTCTGATATTCAATGTTAAATCATCGAAGCATTGACTTTTCATTACTTGAAACTTCTTATTGAAAGAGGTTGTTAACTTTCTCCCTCGATCCGATGAGTCACCAATATGGCAATAGGTGACCTTTCCGGTTATCTTCTTTCAAATTCAGCAAACATTAATTGTAGTTGGAGAATTGTTCTCTGCATATCCTCCATTGTGAGCTCTTGGACACCCCTTTGTGTGTTTTTCCTTGGTGGATGGTGTCTCTTCCCCTAATTAGTGTTTCAACCTAGAAAAGGAGAGGCGATTTAGTTAAGATAAGTTCTTTGATATGGTGAATTAGGTCATGCGTTCAGACTTTGGAATGGAGAAAAAATAATTCCTAAAGACTTATGGCTTGTATGGCTCTAATAGCAAATAACAGAGATTTCCAATTCCTAGTATTTGACGATTAGATCTAGCAATGAGATGTGATAAAATGGCAACAAAAAGAGAATGTGAAATTGGCAAAGATTGGAAGGTAAAAAGGTAATTTTGGCTGCTGTACGGGAAGAAGAAAGCAGGAAACACAACAAAAAATGACAATATCAGCGAGCACGATTGCCAAGGGAGATTCCCCACCTCATCATAAACAAGCTTCAGATACACCACTTACATGAGAAGAAGGATACAACAAACCTTAGGATAGAAACTCGAACAAAATGCATGAAATAAACAAAAATTTCAAAACCAGCTACATATTTACATGTTCCAAAGAAAAAAGAACCTAATTATAGTCCAAACAAAATTAAATATGAACCGTTAAAATTACTTGAAACGGTCCCCCTTGGACCGGTTTGAAACTTCTCAGGTCCACATGAGAGTGGAGGCAGGAGATCAAGCGAACTACCAACTACACAATAGCAGTACTCACAATTCTTCTCCTACAGGAGCACAGGCTAGTAATTGAACGAAACCATAACAATAGCTAGTTGTAAAGGATAGTTTGATACACTACTGCAGCGCTAAGTACTCATTCCTCAAGTGCATTACTTCAAAATTCCTTGCATAACAAGGGAAAAACATTAACTGTCTTCATCAGTGCATGAAACTAAATACAGCTAGAGATTCATTATAATGCAGATGAACACCTCAAATAACAGTTCTAACAGCATTAGAGACAGAGATGAACTTTTAAATAAACACTGAAAAATATCAGAGAATTTAAAGCATCTACCTTTACAAGACTACGAACGAGATTTAGCATGCTAATTCTGTTGTATTCAAAAAGTGTTGGCAGCTGCACGAGTAATAGAGAAGGGGAAAAAATAAAAAAGGATTCTAAAACAAGCAACCAAAATTCATCAAAACCATCAACCATTTATGTACAAATTGATACTCATTGTATATTGTAGAGACCAAGAAATGTGGTATTAGATGCATCAACTCATCTCGACAATGTATGCATAAAATTAAAGGAAGATTTACATACATGCCACTTAATTCCTCGGCATTTACATGGCTAGCCTCTAAAGTTCAACTTTTACATATATCGGCCACATTATTTATCCATGAAAATGTGTATTTCACTTTTTGAAAATTAAAATACTTGTATTTTTGTTGTGATATGAAAAATTTGGGTGGTATTAATGAAAAAAGTAAAGTTTAGGTGTTAAATATGTAAAAACATAGGAATTGGATGGTATGTATGTAAATGCCCTAAAATTAAAATTAGCAGATCTATACAAATTACATTAGCACACGAGAAAGCAGAAGAAAGGGCTTGAAAAAAAAAAAAAAAAAACACTGCTAATTTTAAGCCAATGTGAGGAAACTTTCAAGTAATTCCATTCCTCTATACTAGAAATATCAAGTATTATTAATTATGTGGATGGAGAAATATATTGCATTAGCCATGAACTTGTTAGTTCGCTTGAAAGTGGTGAGGATTGGCACTTCCCACCATTGGTAGGGAAGTCTTTTCTAAGAGAGTTCTTATATTGTTTATTGGTGGTAATTTCTATTTGCTTTTGTCAGATTCCGAGAAAGTGCAAGTTCAAGTAAAATGGCCACAATAAATGTCAAAATATAAGTATAGCACATACACCACACATACGGGTACAAATGTATTTTTACACATATTTACATGTAGAATATGTTAATAAATAAAATTCTTTTGACGTAATATATTTTATAAAAAATATTATTGGCTTTATATGAGATAAAATAATCGAATATTTTTCTAAATTATTAAAATTAAGTATAGCGTACATCTAAAACATCATACGTGAGTCTGGACACATACAAACACATATTCATGCAAACTATGTGTGTATATAATATGTGCATCTCATAAGTAATATATATATATATATATATATATCTGCACTAGAACCTATCATTGATGTAACCGGTGACAATATTTCTACTGCGTTTCTACCGCATCATTAGATTGAGCAAGTTTTTACTCTTAGTCAGGCACATGAGACTCATGATGTTCAACAGCCCACACCTGTCTGGCAATATTTGGACCAATCCACTGGTCAGATGAGCCAATCTTCGGATGAGGAATGTCAGATTTATACATCTAGGAAGAAGAAGAAGAATGAAGGTCTACTACCAAACTTGATGGATGAAACATTGATTATTTCAGGTAATGACAACAAACTTAACAATTTGTTAGCTGACTCCCGTCCTAGAACCAGAGACAAAGACAATGCTAAATTAGATCATTCGCAAACTAACTGAGTTGGCAGACTTTTGGCGATTAATTCATATGTTTACATTTTAATCTTAGTTTTTTTGGGTATGCATGTATTTCCTACATGTGTTGTATGTCGGGTGGTTAGAGTGTCAATTTGTACTCTTTCATCCAACCTATCTGTACCTTTCCTTATATTATCTCTCTCTCTCTCTCTCTCTATATATATATATATATATTAGAAAGCCCAAAAAGACTAATATATTAACTAGAGAAAGATACAGATACAATGTGTTGAAGGGCCCAAAAATGGCACCCAGTTCACACCAAAACTACAAGTGATTTTAAAACTAGAAAATACAGAAAAATACAACAGAGACATAAAGAAAAAGCCTAAAAATGCTGAAATACAAAGTATCAGGTGGCTAGAGAGCAACCCAATTTGGTTTTGTCTCTATCTCTGGTTCTAGGGAAAAAGCAAGCTAATAAGTTGGTAAGATGATTGTCATTGCCATTAATAATCAATGGTAACCAATGTATCATCCAATACCAATGTATCATCCAATATGTTCCTTAGCTGGAGTCGGCCTCCATTCTTCTTATTCCTTCTGGAATATACTTGTCATTCATCTTCCGAAGATTGACTCACCTTATCTTGATCTACTGTGTGCTGGAGATGTGCAGATTGTTGAACATTAGAAGAAGCAACATGTTGTACCGGTTGATCTGCTATTAGATCAAATGAGCACTCTCGTGTGTCTTGACATGTGAGGGAGACTTCTTCAATAACAGTGGATGGTATAAGCACAATTGGATCTGTAGTTGTAGTATGTTGTTCTTCTTCAGGAATGCGGTGTTGGGAAGAGGATTAGATTGCGTCTTCTCAACTGGGATAATAGGTGGTTGTTCTTTTGTGATATTCGGTCTTAGATGAGGATGTAAACGAGAGGATGTGAGGATGCAAACGATAGGAAATAGTAGAGTTGTGGTCAAACATACTACAACAAGAGCAATAAGGAGGGTGTGGTTCGATTTCAACATTTTGCCAATACCCGTTGTGAGTAACATAGTGTCAATCCATATCACATCTGAAGCTGGTTGAATGATATCTCTCTCAACTAACACACAAGCCACAAAGAGTATGGTGACAGCAAGCGTAGGACTATCAACCCTGAGATGCTTACCGTAAGCAGTTGCTAAGAAGTAGAAAATTTCCAAATTGAACACATGTAATTTTAACCCCAGAAATTTTATCTAAACTGGAATGATAGGGGACTCCAACTTTCGGTCGAAATCTACAATCCATTTCAGAATTTTCATATAACGGTTGTCGATCTTGATAATTTTCCAATAAAAGATACGGGTATAATCAACATCATGAGACAACTGAATCAATATGTATCGACTGTCAAGTAAACAAATATTCCAACTACCCAAACCCTTTTCGAATGATCTCCAATATTGGGTTACCATAAAGAAATTTTCTCACTAGAGCAAAACGCCAAGAGGACGCGAGAGTACTTGTTTCAACCTTTGTAAAAATAAGAGCAGGCTTCCCATTTATTTTCCCCAATTTTTTTATGAAGGTGTGATCGCCACCACCTTCAAGAGCATCGTGAAAAGATTGGGGAACATTGCAAGATTTACCTATATGAAAACCAATCTCTGATTCTGCCGACAAGTGCAGTAGCATAAGGATAACCATCTTTGCCGACAAGATTCTGTCGGACAAGAAGCAGGGAGATGTCGTCTGAAAGAAAATGCGAACAGAGCAGTGCGAACGCGACCAAGCGAGCAGAGCAACAACTTTGTCGCCAGACCGAGACTAGAGGACTGTGAAGGAGGCGTCCTGGACAGACGAGGACGTCGTCTGGAAAGAAATGTGATAACTCGGCCTGCCTCGTCGTCAGGATTGGAAGAAGGGACGCGAAGACGCGAGCACCCATCGACGAAGACCAAGTAGACGCGAGCACCCGAGCACCCGTTGACGAAGACGAAGCAAGGAACACGCGAAACCGTCAACGAGGACGAAGCAGGGAATAGAAATGGGAGATCCGTGTAGCAGAAAACTAGGGTTTCGCCTTATGGAGAACCCTAACAGAGGAGCACGAAGCCATGCCGACAATTTTATAATACATACATACATACATATATATATATACACACACACAATACATTATTTAAGTTATATTATTTTAATTACTATAATTAATATAAATAAAGCAAATGGAAGCTATTCATATTGTTCGGCTATAAAAATGGTTGGTTCGTAGACATTGCAATGTAAATGCCATGTTATCTAAAGGGAATGATAGTTGTTTATTTTTTTAACATTTTAAATTAAGGGTTTTTACATACATACCACCCAATTCCTATGTATTTACATATCTAACACTTAAACTCTGTTTTGTACATTTATGCCACCCAAATCTTTCATATCACATAAAAAATACCACTATTTTAAGTTTTAATATATATATATATAAATTGACGTTTTCGAGCTAGATATCTCAAGACATATGAATTGAGTGGTACGTATATAATTCTTCCTTTAAATTATTCATCCAAATGCCAATTTTATCCTAAATCAATGACAAATTAGTAGGTTGTGCAATATTTGGTCAAAACAGAAAAATCGAATCAAAATGGAGGTATTTAGTAGATTTAGTTCGGTTTTGAATTAACGATTTGTTTTAAAATTTTAGAATTTGGTTTTTTATTTTCATTTAGGTTTTGATCTTTTCATTAACCCAAATAAAGCAAAAAAATCAAATAAAAATAGGATCGGAAAATTAAATTCATTTCAACCTACTCCATGTAGTACGCCTCCACCATTTCGTCAATCTCACGGTCCATTAGAAGAAAGCCATGGTGAGGATAATATCTCAAAATAGAACCACATTTTTTATTAATTTTAGATCCAATACAAATTTTTAGTAATTTTATGTACAATACAAAATTTTAGTTTGCTCAAAACAAAACTGATTGAATCAAATTACAATTCGGTACGGTTTGGATCAATCTCAACTAAGGTCCTGTTGGTTCAATTTTCTGGATTTTCACTTGATTTGATCAATTTGTGAACCGGTTGGCCCAACAAATTGATTGTACCTTTTTAGTTTTCATTGATATGTGATACGCCCCAGACCAAAATCAGCGAGCAAACCACAATTTGATCATACAATCAGCTTCGTCATTTCCTTGAATGGAACTTGGTGGAGGGAAACTTATTCTAAGGGCATTTTGAACTGTTTTGAGTCAATCTCAATACTTAATACTAGCTCAAAATAATGAGATTGACCCTAAAAGTCACATGAAAAGCTTTCCCCTACTATTTCATGTCAAAATAAACGATAAAATTGATGATTGGACCAAATTTACTTAGATTTTATGAATTAGGTGACTAAATTGAAGGCGTGAGTAAGTACTGGACTACAATTAACACACCTAAAAACTCTGTGGATCATTTTGGCATTAATCATTAATTTTTTTGGAGCATCCTTTTAACAATCAAAAGAATGAAGTTAAAATTTGCCACAAGAATAAAACAAAGAGCTGAATTCTAAAAATTAGATCAATAACAACACCTCATCAGCTTTAGGCCATTTTTCATCACTTATCTCTAATGTCAACTCCAAACAGCCACCATTTATGTAATTCCAGTCTTGCATGCCACCATAAATAGGATACCTGCAAACTAATAGTAATAAAATAAACAAGCATCCATAATTATGATACTCATACAAAAAAAAAATTTAATGATAAAAAACATACAAAATGAGGATACAGGCAATACTAATTAAGTCATCAAAGAAGAATAGAAATGGAAGTGGGTTCCCTTTTCATACCAAAGTGCGCCATTTACAATCCCTCCTTCAAACTCTTTACTTGAGGACATGTTATAATGGGAGCGGCTATACACACTTGCCATGTAGCGGAATGTCTTGTCATCAGGACATGCAAAATATTCCTTCCTAGAACTGAAGATTTCATTGTTAAAACAAGCAAATATAACAGATATTTGTAGGAATCAAATAATCAGAGAGATACATGAATCTTTCTCAATTAGGAAAATGTCACTGGTTATAAAAAAATCTTAAAGCACATGAAACATGCCATTTTTCTTTGCATGTATGCATACAAAATACATTATTTGCAGTTCGCAAAGCATCACATCCAACTAAAGCGAGAGAACATAGCATAACAAAAGGAAAGACTCTCTGAAACTAAACAAACATTGGTAAATAGATATGATTACATGAAAATACAAGAAAACATACGGAAAGTTACATAGATACCACACAATTCATGTATTTACATATCTACTATCAAAAGTTTGATATTTACATTTATTGCACTTTGGTGTCGTAAACCTATGCATAAAAAGCTGTATTTCACTTTTAAAAATGTAGTGATGATGACAATTTTTATGTGATGATAAAAATTTGAGTGGTATGCATGTAAATATAAAATGTTTAATTATTAGACATGCAAATACATAAGAATTGTGGTATGTACGTAAATGCCCCAAAAATATATGAGGGGGCGCGTGATCTAATCATCTACCTTATCAGCTTGCTAGGGAAAAAGAGTTTGCAAAAGCTAAAGCCACAACTGTAAGGCATGAAATTTGATCTTAATCATATAGTCTCTTCTAAAAGAGTGTTGCTTGTTCATTCTCTCTTGAATAGTATGAGTTATCCAACCCTATCTTAAGAGTTTGGTTGGTTCAGAAGGGACAACTAAGTACCTCTTGTCACTCTTGATGATAGAGAAAGTGAATACAGCATTCACATCACTAATCTTGAGGTTGTTAGCCTTGATCTACTTCCCTCACCCAAATGAGTTGTTATTGATGAAGCCATTAGGATTCATAAGCCTCTTGAATCTAGCCAATAATCCCAGAAGCTCTTGGAAGGTGCTAATAATTGCCATGAAGAGGTATCGACTAGTTGCTTAGAAAAATTAGGACCTTTCTTTGTAAGTTTCCTCAAGAGTATAAATAAGAGAGTTCAAGAGTAGTTGTTCCTCATGTATATTAGGTTCAATTTAATCAAATTTCTCTTTGTGTCGGGATTTGTTTTGATTGTGGTAAACTCCTATAGTTAATTACCTCTCTCACTTCCAGGAGAACAGTCTTGGCTAATAAGGGTCCATGAGATCAGTTTTACTAATTAGGTATAGAGTGAATTAATGAGAAATAAATGGGGGAATGGAAATAAACCCACTCCAGATTCTTTGCTTCCACTATAGAATCTTTCCACTATCTCACGTATACCGATGTATCTAACCATCCGTCCAACATCAAAGAGTTGTAAGTCACGTTTCTGAAGCCTGCTTGGCAACTTTGGTTCAGGTATCACAAGCAAATGAGATGAAACTAGGTCTAAAAGACATACTTTCAATTTTAACATCAACTCCTTCGCTGAAAGAAGATTGGCCGCACCAACTTTATTGAACGGTTTAACGGCACAGAGCATTGCATTTAAGGTTCAGAAGTACTAGACCTGACTGCAATAACTCAAATGTATAGTGTGAAAATCAGTTATTCATTAGTTTTAATTTTACTTGCAATATGCTAAGATGGGTGGGATTTTATTTGGCATAATTTTTATTGGTGGCTTGATTTTGATTGGTGGAATTGCTAGCATAAAAAATGGTTTGCATTTAGGTTAGGTCGGGGTTTAAATCTATTAGAAGGCACTTATTAATTGGGATAAGGCTTGCATATAGAAAGCCCAAATTAATTGAGATAGTATTTACATTTTATAAAAGGCCCATAAGTTGGACTTACAACCTCAATAAAGACGAAGGTCCAATGATGGATCTTACAGTTTTACCTTATATGTAAGGTGATCCAATGGTTTTCATTTCTAGACTTGACTTATGCCTAATATTTCAAATTAGCTTGATTTCAAGTTTATGAATTACTAGTTGTGAGTAGCTCAAGAGACCATTCTTACAATATGAACCTTCGGTATGCTTGCACGTCAGAATTATAACTCAAATATTAGAATCTATCCAAAAGTGAGCTTTATGACCTCACCCTATAGGCAAAACATCCTGATTAGTGGGTCATGCAATGTCGTTTTGTAGTCAAAGCAACCTAATTGATAAAACTCATTGATTTTGATTTTCAAATTAGCATATAATTTAGCATGTATATTGAACTAATGACTGACCAAGATCGTTGACTTAAATTGAGAGATTAGAAGATAAAAGTCAACTCTTGGTTTATTTATTTGATCCATTGGGTTAGCATTACGCTCTTGAATTGAGACCTGTGGTATTATGATAATTTGGTTCTTGAGTAACCAATTCCGTGATATATTATTTAGGGAGGGCATAAAAGTCTTCTTGGGTTGCCTCAAACATACTAAAATCCCTCAAGTTAACCTAAAGATCATTTAGCTTTCAAGAGAGTACTTGTACAAATTTTGAGGCATTCATGTAACCATCTATTCATTAGCAGCATTATTCATGTTTATGCTTCATTTATAGATACTTAATAGGTTGAACCATTGAACACCTTTTAAAGCATGCTTTTTGAGGCAAATTAAAGTGCTCTATTACATGAAGTTTGTTTTATCATATGTTTCTTTAGCAGAAGGTCAATGTATTTACACTTGGAATATATGGATTGTTGTAAACGTTTAAAACCTGTATCTTTTTTTTTTTTTTACTGACGAGTTCGGGAGTAAAGCCACTTCACATTTTTTAATCACGTTTAGAGACTTGGTTCAATTTAGTACTTCATTAAAAAATCAAAGGATTCATAAGTTTTGCGGCTCAAATTCATGCAAACAGTACATACAATCAGCCGTGAAAGCATTTTCAATATGAATGCACCATGATTGTCAATGGCCAAACAGTTCAAATACTTAAGAAATCAAAAAAAATTATTGAAAATTTAATGATTTAGGTATAGATTAAGTAAATGTAAGCTAGAAGAGTTGAGCAAAGGCACAAGCTTGGTGCCATTAATGTTTTTTTTTTTTTTTTTTTTTAATGCTTGTTGTAAAATTCTTCTTAAACGCCAAAGATGGATTGAAAAGTGAGCTAAGAAATGATTATCACCTGCTTTAATCTTTGAAGCCTTGATATCAATAAGGTTATAAGACTCACCCTAATAGATATCGTAATGGGGTGAGACATGATTTGTCAGAGGAAATGGCTGCAAGGTTCACTTTGGTAGATGTTATAGTGGGGTGAGGCATAATTCACAGCATGGAGGTTTGATACATGCAGTGATCAAACTCGCAACATAGAGAAAATCTCCTGATAAATTTTTTCTGATTTTTTTCAATGTTAAGAAGGCCCCGAAACTCATCCCAGCATAAGCCAAAATGGCTTGAGACATGACTTCAACCATAGAAAATGGCTCCAAGGCTCATCCCAACAAATATCATGGTAGAGTCGAGCATGTTTCAAACGATGGAGGTTTAAGACAAGCTCTAAATAAATTCCAAACGAACATCTCCCTGAAACTTCCATTTTATTTTTATGTCAAGAAGGCAACAAGGCTCACATTGGTCGATGTAGTAGTAGATTGAATTCCAATTTACACCTTAAACTATAAGAAATGGTACAAGGCTCACCCTGGCAGACGCATAATGAGTTGAGGCCTGATTCACACCATGAAGAATCAAAAGAGAGGGAGTTTTAATTAAAATATGCCTACTATGGCCAGTATGACTGGTATCTTGCACAAGCAATTCGTCGTGTTAGAAACATACTAGTGACAAATGATGAGCTTGTACAAAGAGGTCAAGTGGAAAGTTGTTAGGCTGCAAAATCGTGGATATGGTGTTATGCAAAGAGTGCCACTCCTGCAAAGGAACTATCTAATGTATCAGGTCTTCCCATCACCCTAAGTAACCTGTATTTGGGCAGTAACCAAGCCACGATGAGCGACATTAACCGCCCCGTTATAATAAAAAAGAAGTTGGGTGCAATACAGAGCACATGGTGAAAAGCCTTTACGTCAAACATGCCAAACAAAAGGCATGCATGGATGTTTCAAGGAGTTCATTGCACCAAAAAAGCACAAAATATTAAGCAAATAAATTCCTTATCTTGTCAAAAAAGCTGTGCATAGGAATCATGTGCAATTACGTCGTGAGATACTTGTGATGAAATAAATAATTTAAAAGAAAGAGAAAGAGAGGGACTATAAAACGAGCTGGCCTTGAAGGAGTGGTGATTAGGGTGAGATTGATTGAGTAAGAAAAGTGAGATGAGGAATCAAGCCAAAGATTTAATACAGAATTCAAAATAATTAATACAGAAATCTGTATATTAATATTCTAATACTCTCCCTCAAGTTGAATCAAGTTGAAACATAGATGTCAATCATGTTCAACTTGAATTTGAAATCATCGAACAGTAGCAGGGAAGGTTCTTTGTGAGAATATCTGGTAGTTGGTTTAGGGTTTAGGGTTTAGGGCACAAACGGAACACAAATTTCCCCGGACTCGAGCTTTTCCTTAATGAAGTGATGGTTAATCTCAACATGATTGGTGCGATCATGCTGGACCGGGGTGTGAGCAATGCTAATGGCAAACTTGTTATCACAAAATAACTGTAGATGAGCGGAGACTGTCATACGTAATTCGTGAAACATGATGCGTAACCACAGAGCTTCATAAATTCTCAGGGACATGGACCGAAATTCGGCTTCTGCACTGAGCAACTACATACAACTTCTTGCTTTTCCATGAGATTAGGTTTCCCCACACAAATGAGCAATATCACGAGGTAGATCGCCAATCATGGACGGACCCAATCCAAGCTTCGTCTGTGTAAATTGTAATAGAACGAGAGGTAGGGCGAGAAAAGAACAAACCTAAACTCGATGTGTCTTTGAAATAGTGGAGAATCCGTTGGACAGCTTGTAGGTGATGTTTATAAGGATCATGCATAAATTGACTATCATAACTGCGCGACATATGACGGGGCGTGTATGGGCAAGATCGATGAGTTTCCCCACAAGGCGTTGGTGGTGACTCTTGTTTACAAGGACTGCATTGGGAATATTAAGAAGTTTGGGATCCATCTGGACAGTCACTGGTTTGCACAGGAGAAGACTGTTCTCTGTCAAAAGGTCAATCACATATTTCCACTGAAACAGACAAATACCCTGTGATTACCAAGCAACTTCCATGCATAAGAAGTACCGGAGAGATTCCAAGCTTTCATTTCAAAAGAAGCAGCAAAAATGTCTTTCAAAGACTCCAATAATGATAGATCATTACCTGTGAGAACAATATCGTTAACATAGACAAAAAGGATAGTTATCTGGTCGTTGGAGAAATGTCGGAAGAAGAGAGTGTAGTTTGATTGAGCCTGAGTGAATTCATGGCTTCTCACCACCTTTGTGAATTTCTCAAACTATGCTCGTGGTGAATGCTTCAATCCATTGAGGGATTTTTGCAGTCTACATACTTGCCATAGGGAGGAAGTGGGAAGAGAAATGAATACCTCCTCTGTAAGATCATCATTCAGAAATGCATTCTTAACATCAAACTGAAATAAGGGTCACACCAAGGGATAAGAGGACCCGAATGGTGTTTATTTAGCAATTGAAGCAGATGTTTTTTTCATAGTCAACTCAATAAGTCTATGAGTACATTTGGCGACCAACCGTGCCTAGTTGAGTTCGAAGGATTCATTAGATTTGAACTAGATGTTAAAAATCCATCGGGATCCAATTGTTTTCTTGCCTCGAGGAAGATCAACAATGTCCCAATTATGATTCCGCTGAAGGACATTCATCTCCTCCATGAAGGCAGCTCTTCAGGTTGAATCTACTAAGGCAACCTCAATAGTAGATGGAAGCCAATGATTGGTCAGAGTCTCAGTAAATGTTTTATAGGTTTGTAATAATCTGCGAAGAAAGACATAATTTGTCATGGGATAAATAGAGTCTGTCAGATTGTATACCTTACTAGAGGAATTGACTTCCTCGTTTGAAGTAGGAGTGTTGGGGATGTCGTCCAAAGGGGATTCAGGGTCTAGTAAGGGGTTAGCGAGCTCCATAATAAGTGCATCAGAACGAGTGTGTCGAGTGCAGACACGGAGACTGGGAGGATGTGCTGGTGGAACCAAAGAGACAGAGGGTTACTTGGTGGTAGGAGAAGCGAGCGGAACCAAGGGACAGAGGGTTCTTCGATGGTAGGTGACGTTGGAGGAACATCCACAGGGGTAGGGTAAGGAATAGTGTTCAAGAACTCTAGCTCCACCTCACTGGAGGTCAAGTTAGGAAAGTAGAGAACACTTTCAAAAAACGAAACATCATCACTCACATAGACCTTATTTGTGGTAGGTTCAAGGCACTAATATCCCTTTAGAGTGGCAGAGTATACGAGGAAAACACATTTTATGGACCTGTGATCAAGTTCACTCCGAGTTGGAGCCGTGTTCCGAACAAAGGTTGTGCATCCAAAAATTTTGGGATCTAAAATGGAGAAAACCTGATTGTTAGGAAAGCACGATCTCAAGGCGGTTAAAGGGGTAAGGGAGTTGTGGATTTTTTAGGGAACTCTATTGATGAGATAAATGACGATAAAAATGACATCATTCCAGAAACATTTTAAGACATTAAAGTGAAACATAATGAATCAAGTAACGTCGATTAGATGCGATTTTTCTTCTCAGTTATCTAATTTTATTGAGGAGTGTCGATACACAAGCTATGATGTAAGATGTCATTTCTTATCAAGATTTCTCCTAATATAGAATTAAAAAATTCACGACCATTGGCAGTCCAAAGAACTTGAATAGAAGTTTTCAATTGGGTCAAAAGGGTGTAAAAATTTTTAAAAGTTACAGCAACTTCAGATTTATCTTTTAAAATATAGACTCGCATCATTTGAGTATGATCATCAATCAAAGTAAGGAACCACTATTTATTGTTGTAGCTAGGAGTGTGAGAGGGTGACCCTCATAAGTAACTGTGAATAAGAGAAAAATGACAATCCTTAAAAGACATTCTCCTTTAAGGATTCTCCTTAAATGACAATCCTAAAAGACACAGATATTAGAGAAAAAATGAGCAACGCAATCAATGTCCTATTCAACTTGTTGACAGATAAAAGGTTACACTTCAACAGAGGTACATGTAGCACAGATTCAATAGTTAGACCTGTTGTTAAAACAACATACCCTTTACCAGCAATAAAACTTTGGGACAAGTCAACAAAATCTTTTCTTGAGCAAAAATATGTCGAGAAGGCTTGAGAGCTTCCAGTCATGTAATCGATCGCACCTGAATCAATGATCCATGAACTAAAATGGGCAAAAGAAGTGATACCATAGGATTGATACCATGACGAACGTGGAGGTCGACGAGCCGGAAGAGAGTGGACTAGATCCAAACAGCTTGATTAAGTGTTCCATTTGACTTTTAAGAAAATTGGAGGATTCCAAATTGTTTTGGGTAGAGGCCGACCAAACTGTGTTGGATTTAGAAGCTATGGCGAGACCCTTGGCACTGAAAGATTTGCCCGAAGGTTTGAAAGCAAGTTTCCCATGGAGCTTCCAACATTTATCACGAGTGTGGTTTGGTTTGTGACAGTAATCACAAGTAGCGTGAGCAGCCCGAAGTTGAGCACTATTTGAGACCAAGGCGGATGCTTCGACAGACAGAGTGGACGCACCAAGCATGACAAGTCTCAGACTCTCTTCACAATGAATCTCAGTGAAAGCATCGCGACTAGAAGGAAGAGAATCTCGACCAAGGATACGACCCCGGACTTTGTCAAGATTTTTATTGAGTCCTGCCAAAAATTGGAATATGCAGTCATAATACAGATCACATTTCATCCATAACGCAATTAGATCATTGCAGTATTAGGTCACGGTCCTCGATTCTTATTTTGTCTCACTAATTTTTTTAGATACCTCATAGAGTTAGCTAGAATTCCCTACATCTGAATAGGTATCATGGACTGTCGTCTAGAGGGCACTAGCGGAATGAACATTAATGATCATCCAATAGAAGTCTCTATGTAGTTGATCAGTCACGACATGATCATAAAATTCTCCACTTCCGAAACTCCATATGTTGAGTCAATATTTGGAGGTTGCCGAATCTTACCAATGAGATGATTAAATTTCCCACGTTCTTTGATGAACAAAGACACAGATTGAGACCATTAGAGAAAGTTATTGTCATTTAGTTTATGTGTAGTAATCAATAAGTTCATGTTGTTTTCTTATCCTCTAGTCTGCAAAAAAACGAAAAAAAACGAAGGTTGGAATTGATCCTCCGGTGGAATCAAGAACAACTTCTAATGACGGCTCAATGTTGGAGGAGTTCGTTGTGACTCCGATTGAGCCAAATGAGATGTTAGGTTGTTGAGACATTGTAAAGTTCCGGGTGCTTGGAAGAATATTGCCTTCGAAAACACCAGCCGGGAAGATCGGGTCGGGTGGAAAGAAAAATAGGTCGGTGGAAGGATATCCAGCGGCTGAAAAAAGACAGCCGACAGTTGGAAGGACTGCTGAAAGGAGAACCTGCAGGGAGGCCAGCGCTTGGAAGGCTGAGATGAGCGGTTGGTAGGCCTGCAGAGAGGCTGGCAAGAAGGAGTGCCAGAAGAACAACCTGCAGATTTCTGAGATTAGCGGCTGGAACGAGAACCTGCAGGTGGCCGGCTACAAGAACCTGCAGATTTTTTAGATCAGGCGTGAGCCTGCGGGTGGTTTGCAGCAGGAATCCTGCAGGGAAAGGCCTGCAAGAACCATGGCTCTGATGCCATGTTAGAATAGAACCCAAGGTGAATCTTATTGATACAAAGAGGGGTATAAATATCCATTACAAAATATACTAATAAGGAAACAAATAAAAACATAATAAAAGAAAAAAAAAAGTAAATAAAAGAAAATCAAAGCAATTAATTCAGAAATTTGCATATTAATATTCTAGTATTCTAATATAAATTCTCCGCTTCTTAAAACCACCTTAGCATTGAACATTTTTAGCTTCTCATCATTGCAACAAAACGAAGTTATAATATATGCTATAGCATACAGTGGCTAATCGTGTGGACATAAGGAAATACTGCATTTCATAAAAGCAAACAGTACAGAGATTCATTGTAGCAGCTGATTAAACAGCAAACAAATAATAATGAAGCGTGATAGCAAAGCCAGTAAGCATCAACAGTCCAGAAAGTAGCTACGCTACATACAAGATAGTCTATGTATAACAACTACCTTCCGTCTTGAGCACCATCCCAAGGATAATTTGCGACAAGTGCACCCTGGAGTGGAAAATATAACAAAATTATATCTAAGGACCCAGATAACTTATACCTAACTTCCTAACTTCCAGAATAAAAAAAACCCAGGTAACCCATCATTTTAATGTTATTAATTAATAAATATTTTTAGAAATGTTAAGTAGTCAAAAAATGGTATGGAAGGTTAAGAAGAAAAAAGGGCCCTTGGCAAGCTTTACAGAAGTATAAACAGTACACCAACGTGGATATTTAGCAGATGATATAAACGATATTATTTGTTTTGTTTCCTTCAAACACGAAATTAATAATTACAAATATATTAATAATACTGAATAGAGAAAAAAACACTCATTGAAATGCTGATGTGCACTAAAAAGGAACAGATTTAGCAAATAATATCCAAACTTCAAACAAATCATATTACCCCATGTAAACTTGCAGAGGCTGTAAATTGTCGTCCTTCCACCCATTTTATAATTGCTTTTGTTTCAGGTTGCCGCTCGGCCAACACATCATTCAAAGGGTAAAACTGCGCCCATTTGTTAAGTCAGACAACTAGTTATAAATTAAATTTTTAATGCATATAGGGTATAAATTATGTAGAAGACAACCAGATGCAAATATGATCATTTCTAATCTGAAAACATGAGGTGCAAATGAAGCACAATGATAAAACAAGTAAATACTCACCTGATCAGGAAAATCTCTATTCAAATCCACATTATTTGCGTTGCCACGTCTCCTCATAGCAAATCCATCAGGATTCATAGATGGGAGAATGTGAAGATGGACATTTTTTACAATCAATGTTGCCTGTGTATTGAAGAAAAACAGCCCAGACAACGAGGAGGAACTTTCAGATATATAGGCCATATGCGTGAGTGCATGCGTATAATAACAAAAAGTTTTTGGCATTTTTTCTTTTTTTGGCTTAAGTAAAGCTTTTTTTCTTTTTTTTATAATGTTGTTGATAGCATTGTTTTTCAATTTTCATGAACGATGTGATAATAAAGATAGCAAACTTCTCTAACATAGAATGCAAGAGTACTCTGGAGGAATACAGAACATTTCAACAGCTAATATATGATACAACGCTGACTCATTTTCAAGTACAAAAACTAACTCAAACAAGATTGATAGAGGTAATAGCGAAAGATTATTTTTCTCCTAAGCATAAGTGTAGATGACTGCAAAAAAATAGAGAGTTAAAAAATTGCGGTAGCAGATGTTTTGAGAAATGCTGAAGCTAGTGAGCTGCAATTAAAGCACAAGTCCTCATCACTAACTAAAGTATCATTTCCCTGTGTGAAATATGGAAATGAGGGATGACCCATAGTATCCTAACTCACTTAGAATACTAGCATTTCAATACTACGGACATCCACTCTGGAAAAATATAGATCGTAATGCTCCCTAGTTTAAGATGCATGGGAATGAAAAAAATTAGGGAATTTTGCAGATATACCGCACAATTCTTATGTATTTACATATCTAACACCTAAACTTTTATATTTATATTTATAACGTTTTGATATCATAAACCTATGCATGATTTTCACTCCAAGAAAATAAGTAAATGTGGTATTTTTGTTGCAATATTAAACATTTGAGTGCTATGCATGTAAATATGAAAGTTTAGGTGTTAGATATGTAAATACCTAAGAATTGTGTGTTATTATGTATGCAAGTGCCCCAAAAAATTAAAAACAATGGGCACTGGGCACTCTGTTCGTCACAATGGTTTTCTCCATATTGTACAGGGTGTTAAGAAAGCAGCAAGCAAATTCTTCAAAAGCAAGCTAGAAGATAGATTACAAATCCTTTATTTATTAAAAAGATGACATGTTTCTTTAGGAAAGCATGAACAGGACCTAGATAATTAAATGCTTTTGCTGAATCCACAGACATTACCTGGGTGATGATCTAAGTGATCCCATAAGTTAAAAATGTTTGCAAACAGTCGTATCATATCAGCAAAGCGAAGCGCTCCAACAAATAACTACATCACTCAGATGGAACTAAAATTGTCGTCACCAATTTTCAGTACAAAGTTTTGGACTTCCCAATACCAACATAATGACAGATAAATTCAAATTAAAAAATCTCTCTGCGATCCTGGAAAGCTACATGTTTACTACAAAACTATTTGCATGTTGAAATAAGATTGTTATTATTTATAAGCATTTTTGAAGCTTTTATCTTATTTTTTGAAGGCAAATCCATGAAAGAAGTTAATTTATTTGTCTTCAGGCAAAAAAAAAGCAAATTAAAAAACATTATGATAGAGAATGTGAGCTAGGAGATAACCAAGGGATCCTTCATATAGTTATTACACAGCCAATTGGCAAGGCGCACTAGTAATTCTCGTCCAACAGGTTCATCTCCATGAACATTTCCAATAAACTGCAATTTTTAAAAGATAATATCCCAAGAGATGTTCAGGCTTGGATATAAAACAAGTTAAGAAAAAAAAAGAACTGCTTAATGCAATTCCAGTGCATTGTAATATATATATATATATATATATATATATAAAATGGTAAAATCAACAAAATTCAAGCAGATCAATTGCTAAGCACAACCGCCTTTCATGACGGACTTGGAAAAGCCATCTAAATCTTTGTCAAGAAATTATGTAATGCAGACAAAGTAAAAATACACATCCCCAAGCACATGGTTGAACAAGTTTTATAATAACTGATCCCATTTAAGTAATAGCTCCACTAATATCAAATACAATAAATTCTCCACCCCATAGTGTTGGGAATATGGTGAAACCTAATTCAAATTACTGAGAGCAAATAAATGGAAGAAAATAAAGAGCATGAAAACACAACAAAATAAACTACACATGCAAAGTCAAAGTAAGACGTTACTTCATAGAACATTAACTTTTAGTTCCACGATAATGCATAGATGCAATTGCAAGTAGTTTACAAATACAGTAAAATCGTGGCAAAAAAAATTGATGTTTAGGGTTTTAAATTTTTATTTTTCTAGAGGGTCAGTCAGGCAAACTCTCTAATAATCTAATTAAATTTCACAAATTATGTCAGACACATGTCTTTGATAGCCATGCACCCATTAAATAAATAAAATAAGCGTGGCATATTGATATTTTTACAAAAATTAGGGCAAACAAAATATGTTTTTTCACAAATACAAAACAACACAACTCAAACATATAAATGTAAGCACTTCCAATTCGAGAGATAAGTTTATCTCTCCCAACACCTACAATTTACGATGTAGGTGATCTCTCCCAAACCATAAATCTAATACTCAGGACCACAATCTCGTAGCATACACAACCCTAAGCATAATAAACTCCCTTAGGCACCAATCTAACATTACTCCCCTCCCATAAAGGCATATTGTCCTCAAGATGGTAAAAAAAAATTATAGTTGGATCACAACGTATGACTCTCATGTGGTGTCACCACCTGGCAATCATCTTTAATTAATTAGAAGTTTATAGTGACCCTCATGAGTTTAAAATGTAGTCCTATGCACATCCTTCGGCCGCATTCAAACCTGCTAGTAACTTGACTTCAAATCAATCTTCCAGAATAACACATACTCAAATAGCTCCTCCCATATCTAATCGATCTATCGTAATCTATGCCAACTTCATCATGTTTCTTTCATGTTATACAACTCGATCCAGAATCGTAGCCCTATGACCTGAATTGCCCTCAACGTGGTCTTGAACTTTACCAAAGTCTTAAATAAACTAGATTCACCGAAAGGCACTACCATCTCGTCTAACTTAGAATATTTTATAGTGTCAAAATCAATCTCTTATCTGAATTGCCCTGCTTTTCTCCACTTATCTTGTTCCCATAAGTACTCATGAATCGTCTTTCTCCCGAAAATCCGAAACAACAAAAGACATTGGCGCGGTTAAATGCCACCCTCTGTTGGAGTCCCGCTCACCATAGTTCCATGTTCTAGCCCTAGATCCTTTAAATCAATCTTCTCTAGCCCCAAATCTCACGTAGTCCCGTTTCACCTGCTACCACTAATTCAAAACCTCCCGAGATGTTGTGCGTCCCTCGAGATACAGCCGCTCAACACCGCTCTTGATTCTTTCATTCAATCCCACATGCTTTCATTTGTTCCAGTCGTCTGGATGACGCGCTATTCCTTCCAAGGGCTTTCGCTCGAATGTACTCCAGAATCCTTCACTCGATCCTAAGCCTCATGATCGGACTATAATAGCAACGCTGCCCTGATGTCATGTGATCCTTCTTATTGATGCAGCTCACGATCGCTCCTGATTGCTTTCCACAGTCCCACATCTCCAGTTTCGCCTAAAGCAGTGATGTTGTCAAATGCCACACAGTTTCTTCATATTGTTGTTGCTCTCATCTGCTCAAGACACCATTGCTCAATCTAGCGGCGAGTTGAAACGGTTTTGTGTCAAACTCCACAATCTTCTTCATTATTTTTTCGAGGCCGTAAATCCCCCCTCCATGTACGAGAACTGCCCCTCAAGGGAAGAGAAATGCTCCTCTATTTTAGATCTGATTTGGCTTTCTCCTCCAAAGCATCAACTCTTTTGATTTGTCATTACTCTCGAGAAGATTCTCGACCATGAAGGCAGGACTCTGTATGCCCATTGGCTTCCCAGTTACCTCGAATCGTGACTGTAGCGCATGATTCGATCATTGTACATTGCAATCCTGATGTTTGCTTACCTGCTAGGTTGAATAAAGCGGTCGTATTGTACTATAGCCACGATCACATCATATCTACACAATGAACCTATCGTTTGTTTCCCGGATCGCGAGTCTTGATCACTAGGGACGCCGCAAAACATCATGATCCCCTCTTTGCCATCCCGTGATTGTATCAATGTGGAATTCTTGTACGATCCCGATTGCTAGGTTTGGGATGGAACTCCTATTTGTGATCTTATCATTTGCTTCCTAGCTAGCCGCTCTGCATGTCGCAATCCCATCATTGCTTCTAAGCTAGCTCACGATACACTTGGAATTGTGAGTTTTATCCTTGTACTCTACAATCCCGTTCCCAAAAATCTAAAGATCTGATATTAATTTCAGACGAACATAGACGATTTTTTCACAAAGATTGGGTAAACAAAATATTTTTCTTCACTAACACAAAACAACACAACTCAAATACATAAAAATAAGCACTTACAATTTAAGAGGTAGGTGATCTCTCCCAACAGCTACAATTCAAGGGGTAGGCGATCTCTCCCGTGCCCTAAACCTAAGATTCAAGACCACGGTCTTATAGCATACCAAACTCTAAATATAATAAGCCCTATTTATATCAAACAATAATAACTAATAAAAGATTAAATTGTACTTAAGCGCCAATCTAACGGATTATCTACTTGATACAACACACGAATATATTTAAAAATAATTAAACTAAATGAAATTGAGGGAAAACAAGCACAACAACAAAAGAAGGAATTGTTCAAAAAATCAACATGGGCTTAAAAAGGGTATTACAATGTTTTACAAATAAACCCCCAAAATTCCTCAATATTCCCCTTTTTACCAATAGGACCCTAAATAAGGTCCAATTCTCAACATTTCTCCTCAAAATGGGCAAAAGATACCCACTAAGCCCATCTTGTCACATAACCTAGACAAATCTAATGAACTAAGTCCGTTAGTGAGGCAATCAACCACTTGTTCTCTAGTGACTACATGACTTAGCTCCAGTTGCTCATTATTCAGTTTTTCCTTGATGAAGAATCTATCAATCTCCACCTGTTTGGTTCATCATGTTGCATCGAGTTGTTGGCAATGTTGATTGTTGATTTTGTTGTCGCACAACAACTTCATTTCAGTTCCTTGGTCTACCTTGAGCTTGATCCACAAGGCTCTCAGACACATCACCTTAGCAACTTCTAAAGCCATGACCATGTACTTTTCCTCTATTGTTTATCTTGTTACTATAGATTGTTTCTTGCTTCTTCCAAGGGACCAAGTTGCCCCATACAAACATATAGTATCCTAAGGTAGATCTTTTGTCATCTGCACAACTCGCCCAATCAACGCCACGAAAGCCCTCAATGTCTACATGCTCATTCTTCCTGAAGATCGAACTCTTCGCTGGTGCACTCTTCAAATGCCTCAAAATCTGATACATGCATCCATGTGGCCCTTCTTTGAATCATACATATAGCGGCTCAACATTCTCACTGCAAAAGATATGTTGGGTCGAGCGTGGCACAGATAGATCAGACGGCTCACTAATCTCTGGTACCTCAAACAATCAATCGGTTATCCTAACTTTACACTCAGCTAGGTCTTCTGATCAATTGGAGAGATTGCAAGTTTGCATCCCAGCATGCATGTTTTCATGAGGAGGTCGAGTGCATAATTGCTCTGGGATAAGATCATCCCCTCAGGTCCATGGGCTACTCTAATACGAATAAAGTATCTGAGTATTCAAAGATTTTTTATCTTAAATTCATTGTCAAATCTTACCTTTAGTTGTGCAATTTATGTTTCATCAACACCAGTGACAAAGATGTCATCAACACATACAACTAGTATAGTGGTGTGGCATTCATGTGGTTGAAAGAACATCGTATGGTCTACATTGATCTGCTGATATCCTATGTCCATCATAGACTTTCTAAACTTGTCAAGTCAATCTCGAGAAGACTGTTTCAAGTCATACAGTGACTTCTTGAGCCTGCACACCTTATCCATTGTCTGGACTGTATTGAATCCCGGTGGCATCTCCAGTAACTCACCATAAACAAATGCATTATTCCCATCAAGTTGGTGTAACATTCGTCCACCCTTCACTGCCAGAGAAATCAGCGTCATCATTTTGTTCATCTTTGCTATTGATGCAAAAGTTCTATCATAGTCAATGTCATGTGTTTGATTGTACCTTTTCGCTAGCAGTCGTGTTTTGTACCGCTCCACTTTCATTCTAGAGTTTGTTTCATTGTGAAGATCCACTTACATCTAACAGTCTTTTTTCTTGTTAGAAGTGGTATTATCTCTCATGTTCAATTTTTATCGAGAGCCCTAAGCTCTTCATGCATAGTTGTTTGTCACTTAGGATCCTCCTTAATAACCCGTCAACACTTGAGTATAGAGACAGTGTTCAAACATGTAATGATATTTCATGTAACTATGATATTTTAGAATATGAAATAAAATTAGCAAAGTCATGTTTCCACCCCAAATGATTGGGAGAAACTCCCGCAATACTGTGAGAAGTCTTTAAAGTTGGGGAGTTTGGAGAAGGAGGAGGAATTATATCACCTAGGAGTTCTAAGTCAGAGGTGGATAGTGTAGGCATCTCAAGTATGGGGGAAAAACACGACAAGCGACTAGCTTGCATAAGTGGCAATGCATGCACCATTCTCTCATTTTGTTTCTTTCTCCGTGTACACAACA